AGCCCAGGGTCACCCAAAGCCTGGTGTCACCCAAAGCCTGGTGTCACCCAAAGCCTGGTGAGACAGGAGAGGGGGCTCTGGCTGCAGGCTGCTCCCCCTCCCAGGCACTCCCTGTCCCCAGCCATGGACACAGGCACAGGAGGTGACCCCGGGCAGCCACAGCCTGGGGCTTCCTCAGCTCAAATTCCAGCACCCCTAACCTGGCACAGGTCCCTCTGCAAGGGACACCCTCAGGGGTAACAGTCCCAGAATCAGGGCATTGTTGGGGTGGGAAAAGCTCCAGGATCACAAAGTCCCAGCTCTGCCCAATCCCTACCTTGTCACCAGCCCAGAGCTCTGAGTGCCACCTCCAGGCCTTCCCTGGACACTTCCAGGGATGAGGACTCCACCATTGCCCTGGGCAGCCCCTTCCCAAGCACCCATTCCTGGAGGAAATTTGCCCAATATCCAACCAACACCCCCTGGCCCAGCCTGAGGCCGTTCCCTCTGCTCCTGTCCCTGTTCCCTGGAGCAGAGCCCGACCCCCCGGCTGTCCCCTCCTGGCAGGAGCTGTGCAGAGCCACAAGGGCCCCCTGAGCCTCCTGTGCTCCAGGCTGAGCCCCTTCCCCGCTCCTCAGCAATTCTCCAGCCCCTTCCCAGCTCCTCAGGGATTCTCCAGCCCCTTCCCAGCTCCTCAGGGATTCTCCAGCCCCTTCCCAGCTCCTCAGGGATTCTCCAGCCCCTTCCCAGCTCTGTTCCTGCCCGGGCCACATGTCCCTTCTCCAGTCAAACATCTCATACAATCCCTGGCAGAGCCAGATGGAGACTCCCCAGAGCAGATGTGCCACCAGTGCCATCGCAGGGACAGCTCACAGAGATGTCACAGAACTCCTCAGCCGTGCCCCCTCCTCGGTCACTCCCAGGGGCTCTTCCCTGGCCGGAGGAAGGTCGGGGCTGGCTGCTCAGTGGGTGAGTCAGGAGGGGAGGCCGGAGCCAGCCAGGACAATTCATGGGATGTTCTGAACCCATCTCAGCTGGGGGAGCAGCACAGCCTGGGGAGAAGAGCTTGGAATGCCTCCGGCACTGGGAAGTTGGAAGGAGCCTTTGTTGAAGCAACAGGGCAGCAGCACGTGGGCACACGAATAAAATTGGATTTGAAAACCCCCTTCTCCCCAGGAAGGCCCTCACAAGTGTCCTCATCCCCCTGGAATCTGAGCTCCTTCCAGCAGCATTAATCAGCGTGGCTCCCATTTGTCACGCCGAGGTCTCTCACCCTCCCACAGGGTCCAATTTGGCCGGGAGAATTCACTTTATCTGCTGATGTAGGGAGAAAAATATTACTAAAAGCTTGACTTTGAAACCTTGCTCGTGTGAAAGAGTCGGGCCTTTCCCATTTCCAGCCAGATTCCTGCCCCAGGCTGAACTCCTGCCCCGGCCCAGCGCTGACTTCAGCTGGCCCCAAGAGCAGTCACAGGCTCACAGAGGCAGCACAAAGGAAACAATATTTTAAAATCTGCTTCACTGGATTAAAGTGGGATCTGCACTAATGAACAGCCAGTCAGGAAGTCATGTCTTCCTCAGGGAATTGTTTCAGGAAAAGTGAATTATGATCCAGGATGCATTCATGGAAAAAATGAGATGGACTTTGGGGAGGGCTGACACAAAGCCCATAATCCATCTAATTTCAGGTGCCAGTGCAGGGAGTGGGCCTGCATGGGGTGGCAGGTCCCTGGCAATCCAAACCATCCTGGAATTCTGGAAGAGGTTTCCTCACCTGCTTTGGCAGAAATCCTTCATCTTCTCCTCTCCAAAGCCTTCCCGTGGTGCTCTCAGTGACAAAACTGGGAGAAGTCCCCAGCAGGCACCCACGCTGGACAGGCCATGTCCAGGCAGAGGGACAGCAACGGTGACCACAGACCTGGGCAATTCCTTCTCCAAGGAAATCGGGTACATGAGCTATGTTTCACATCAGCACTGCCATGCATTGCCATGGAAACCCTTCCAGAGCCCAGCAGTGACAGAGCGTGTCCCAGACACCACCCCAGCCCCTGCTGGAGAGGGGTTCTCCATGGCAGGGGTTCAGAAACACCCACACCTGCTGGAGAGGGGTTCAGAAACACCCACACCTGCTGGAAAGGGGTTCCCAAAACACCCAAACCTCCTGGAGAGGGGGTTCAGAAACACCCAAACCTGCTGGAAAGGGGTTGTCCATGGGAGGGGCTCAGAAACACCCACACCTGGTGGAAAGGGATTCCCAAAACACCCACACCTGCTGGAAAGGGGTTCCCAAAACACCCACACCTGCTGGAGAGGGGTTCAGAAACACCCAAACCTCCTGGAGAGGGGCTCAGAAACACCCACACCTGCTGGAGAGGGGTTCAGAAATACCCAAACCAGCTGGAGAGGGGTTCAGAAACACCCAAACCTGCTGGAGAGGGGTTCAGAAACACCCACACCTGCTGGAAAGGGGTTCCCAAAACACCCACACCTGGTGGAAAGGGGTTCAGAAACATCCAAACCTGCTGGAGAAGGGTTCAGAAACACCCAAACCTGCTGGAAAGGGGTTGTCCATGGGAGGGGCTCAGAAACACCCACACCTGGTGGAAAGGGATTCCCAAAACACCCACACCTGCTGGAGAGGGGTTCAGAAACACCCAAACCTCCTGGAGAGGGGCTCAGAAACACCCAAACCTGCTGGAGAGGGGTTCAGAAATACCCAAACCAGCTGGAGAGGGGTTCAGAAACACCCAAAACCTGCTGGAAAGGGGTTGTCCATGGGAGGGGCTCAGAAACACCCACACCTGCTGGAAAGGGGTTCCCAAAACACCCACACCTGCTGGAAAGGGGTTCCCAAAACACCCACACCTGCTGGAGAGGAGTTCAGAAACACCCAAACCTGCTGGAGAGGGGTTCAGAAACACCCAAACCTCCTGGAGAGGGGCTCTCCATGGGAAGGACCCCACAAACCCCCACAGGGCTGCCCCCCCCAGAGAGGAGGGTCAGGACTGATTCCCTCGGGATGGAATTTACAGCACAAAGAAGAATGAATGGAAATGGTCACAAAGGAAGAAATGGAAGGTGCTTCTGAAGGGGGAAAGAGCCTCTCATTTTGAAATAAAGCACATTTCAAAGCATAACGTGGATTTTTACACCTCTTTTCCATTTCCTCCTTTTCCATCTCATCCAGGAGGTTTCCCAGCTGCAGGTCAGGCTGTGGACACACATCTGTCCTACACAGCAATCCCTGGGGGGTGCTGCTGATCAAAGGACAATTCTGAATAACTGAAAACACAAATCTGCTCCGACAGTGCTGAAAAAAACCAGTCCTGCCCTAATTCCTCTTCCAGAGCTCTACGGAATTTACCCTAAAAGTCTCTGTGTACAGTAGATTTGGAGGGGATGACTCCACTCTGGAACCAGCACAAGACAAGCACAATTTCCTGAGTGTTTGGAAAGCAGTTTGCTGGAAGCAGTGCAAATGTCAACAGCCTCCTTCCCCAGAGCTGCAGACTGGGAGCTCTGCATGCACAGGAGCTGCACCCACCTGAGGGCAGGGAAGGGCCCTGGAGCAGGGCAGGGGAGCATCCCCACGGACACAGCAGGGCAGGATGCATGGGAACACCCCCCCAGCAGCTCTGGGGGGAAATTTCATCACCCAAAGGTTTGTCCAGTCCTGGAGAGCCCATCCTTGGAGGGATTTCACAGCCCTGTGGATGTGGCTCTCGGGGACACGGCTCAGGGGTGGCCCTGGCAGTGCTGGGGGAACACGGGGCTTGATCTCAGAGGGATTTGGAGCAGCAAGGCCCTCCAGCTCCCTTCGTCTCCTCACTGAAGCTCAAAAGCACAAATAAGCAGCTGAGTGGCCTTGAGCGAGCTCCAAGTGAGGCAGGAGCTCGTTAGGGCTCCAGCACCCCCAGCCTCTTCTCCCAGGGAACAAATCTGTCCTGTGTGTCCCAGAATCCATCAGAGCTCAGCCCAGCACGCTCAGCACCTTCTCCTTCACACAAAGCTCATTTCCAGCCCCAGAACAAAATTCCAGAGGCAAGGCAACAATTCCACCCCACCTGATCCCAAGGCAGTGGAAGGAGCAAATTGCAGCTCAAGGCCAGGTTGGACAGGGCAGGGGCTGGCACTGGATGCCTTCAACCCAAAGCAGGCTGATGCTGTGATAAACAGGTAAAACTGGATTTGGGGAGGGGGGAAGGTCTGAGAAGAGGAGCCACAGTCCGAGCTGATTTACCCCAGCCATGGGGTGGTGTTATTTGGAACCTGCACTTTAACTTCCACTACTGAGACCACACCAGATCAGGGAATCCAGAATGGTTTGGGTTGGAAGGGACCTTAAATCCCACCCAGTGCCACCCCTGCAACGGCAGGGACACCTCGCACTGTCCCAGGTGAATCCAGCCTGGCCTTGGGCACTGCCAGGGATCCAGGGCAGCCACAGCTGCTCTGGGAATTCCAGCCCAGCCCCTGCCCACCCTCCCGGGCAGGAATTCCTTGCCAAGATCCCAGCCCAATCTGCCCTTTGCCAGTGGGAGCCATTCCCTGTGTGCTGTCCCTGCAGGCCTTGTCCCCAGTCCCTGGAGCCCCTTCAGGGTCTCTCCAGACCCTTCCACCTCCAGCAGTGCCCAGCCCTCCCAGCACAGGGCGTTCCCTCCCAGCTGTTTCTGAGCTGAATTGCCACAAACATCTGAGGCAGAGAACATAGGAAGCCACAGCTCACACCCACTCTGTTTTCCTCAGATGTCTTTTCCTGTTTATCCATCCTATGAACTGCTCAGTGATGATCAGATGAAACTGAGACTTGAGCATTTCATAAACCTCCTCTCTCCCCTGCATCTTTTCAGTGATGCTGGCCCAGGGCACAGCCAGGGACCCTGGCAGGACTAACCATCTGGAAAAGGGGAGTCTCCCAGGAAAGGCCTGAAAGCTCCACCACCACCAGAGGTGTCTCTGCTCAGCCCCTCCTGGTCTCTCACAAACGCAGCTGCAGCAGTTATTACAACTCAGCTGTTTTATTGAAGTACAAAACATAACAAGTGACTTTTCTACATTGAGACAGGAATTAAAAAAATAAAAAAAAATCCTCGTTAAAACCCAGTGAAAATAAATATATAAAACTGCTATTCCAATCAGGGAGTTATAAATACATTATGAAGCAAGTTTTTCCAGTCTCTGTTTCCTCTGGAAGTGCCTAACACCACTATAAAAGCCCACCTATTTACTGAAAACCCTGACACTCCCCCAGATCCCTGATTCTTATGTAGGGCAGGATCAATGAGCACAGAAGTGACCCAGAGCACCAAGTGAGGCTGCAGAAGCATTTACTGCCTTCTCCCTGTCCCAGCTGCTGTGTGCTCAGCCCAGCCTGGCCGAGGTGCTCCGTCAGCTCCAGGACACCTTCTTCCCCAGGACACGGCTGGTGATCTTCTGAGGGAGAAACAGAGGGACACAAGGCAGTTAGTGCAGTGAAAACTGAAAATGCTGAGCACAGGTTCTCTGCACAGATGGCTATGGAACCCCAGAGGGCTTTGGCTGGAAGGGCCCTTCAAGCCCACCCAGTGCCACCCCTGAGGGCAGGGACACCTCCCCCTGATCCAGGTGGCCCCAAGCCCCATCCAGCCTGGCCTCAAGGAGCAATAAGCGGCACAAAATGGGAATTTAAACTGTCAGGATGAACTGCCGGCTCAGCAGCTGCCCCGTGAGAACAGCAGGATCCCCCTGTGCAGGCTGGCACCGGGATATTCCCATGGGGAATGGTCAGGAGCAGGCCAGAGACTGTCCCCGGCACTGGCTGAGCTGTTCCCAGGCAGGATCCTGAGCAGAAGCTCCTGGAGCTGTGTGTGCCCAGCTGGGGGGGCTCAGGAGAGCCCTCCGCAGGGCCCAGGCAGGGTGGGGGCACAGACAGCGCTCTGCCCCAGCAGCAGGGGAGGAACCAGGGCTCCCCGGGCAGGGATGAGCCGGGGGAGCAGAGGGAGACCGGCACAGCCCTGAGGGCAACACGGGCAAGGCCAAAACCCTGCCCGGAGAGAGCTGGGACCCCCTGGAGTGCGTGCTAAAGAGCAACAGGGACAGCACACAACTGCTGGTGTGACCGGCACCCACAGGGCTGCACCCACAGGGCTGCACCCACAGGGGCTGCCAGGACCCTTCCAGGGCCTGCACCCACAGGGCTGCACCCACAGGGGCTGCCAGCACCCTTCCAGGGCCTGCACCCACAGGGGCTGCCAGCACCCTTCCAGGGCCTGCACCCACAGGGGCTGACAGCACCCTTCCAGGGCCTGAAACCCACAGGCTGTACCCACAGGGGCTCACCCACAGGGCTGCACCCACAGGGCCTGCCAGGACCCTTCCAGCCCAGATTCCAGAACGCTCCCCCAGGAGGAGTGAGTGATTCCAGAAGGTTCCCCCAGAGTGATTCCAGAACATTCCCCAGAGTGAGTGATTCCAGAACGTTCCTCCAGAGTGGGTGAATCCAGAACATTCCCCCTGCAGGAGGGATTCCAGGACATTCCCCCACAGTGAGTGATATCAGAAGGTTCCCCAGCAGGAGTGGGTGATTCCAGAACGTTCTCCAGCAGGAGTGGGTGATTCCAGAACGTTCCCCACAGGAGTAGGTGATTCCAGAACGTTCCCCAGCAGGAGTGGGTGATCCCAGAACGTTCCCCACAGGAGTGGGTGAATCCAGAACATTCCCCCTGCAGGAGGGATTCCAGGACATTCCCCCACAGTGAGTGATATCAGAAGGTTCCCCAGCAGGAGTGGGTGATTCCAGAACGTTCTCCAGCAGGAGTGGGTGATTCCAGAACGTTCCCCACAGGAGTAGGTGATTCCAGAACGTTCCCCAGCAGGAGTGGGTGATCCCAGAACGTTCCCCACAGGAGTGGGTGAATCCAGAACATTCCCCCTGCAGGAGGGATTCCAGAACATTCCCCCACAGTGACTGATATCAGAACGTTCCCCACAGGAGTGGGTGATTCCAGGACGTTCCCCACAGGAGTAGGTGATTCCAGGACGTTCACCACAGGAGTAGGTGATTCCAGAAGGTTCCCCAGGGCCTCCCGGCGCAGCCCAGAGCTGCTGCTCTCCCTGAGCGAGGGCAGTGACACCCTGGGCTGTGCCTGCCTCGGGCAGGCATTCCCAAACCCACAGAAATAAAGGTTCCTCAGGGCTGGGCTCGGGCCTCGCGGGACAGAGGGGAGCCAGCCAGGACCTGCTGCTCCCTTCCAGCTTTCTCCAATTCACCGGGATCACAAACTCGCTCCCCCTTGTGGAAGAGCCTCAGTAATGGAACCAATCTGGATCTGATAAACTCAGAAATTTCATTTCTGCTTCACTGGGGCTGAAAGTTCTGATTGCTGCTGCCATCAGATCAGAATCTGTTCTCACTACAGAGTGCAAAATTCCAGGGCACTCCCTGTCCCCTGATCTGACTGGGATGATTTTATGCTCTGTTTGAAATTAAAGCACAAAAGCAAAGGGCTGCTGGGACAGAGCATCAGCCCAGATCCACGTGCACCCTGTGATAAAAATAACTCTGCTATCTTAATGAAGAGAAGCACTGAACAATTTCACAGATTAAGCATGTCCATGCACTCCAGCCCAGGGATTTTTATGGGTCTAGTTCTAGGTGGGACCATATTGTTTCCCCCTCCACTCAGTGCCAACAAAACTCCTTATTTTTCCCTTTTCCCCTCAGTGAGCTGCCCCAAACTGTCACAGAAATGCCTTGAGACCAGCCCTGAGAGCCCCTCACCTCCCAGAACCCTGCAGGGACATTTGCACTCTGCTGTACAAAAGGGAAGCAGATTTTGTTCATATACATATTCATTAATTTGGGGTATTATTTTGAGTCAAATGAACTCAGCTGCATCTCATCCCTCAGCCTGGACACTGAGATTGTTCCTCCCTGGCAGTGTCTGGGCCAGGCTGGGCACTGGGGTTTGCAGAGCCTGAGACAGTGGGAGATGTCCCACTGGGATGGCATCCATTCATTCATTCACTGCTTCCCCTCCCTGGCAGTGTCCCAGGCCAGGCTGGGCACTGGGGTTTGCAGAGCCTGAGACAGTGGGAGATGTCCCACTGGGATGGCATCCATTCATTCATTCACTGCTTCCTTGCCCACATTTTAATCACACCCTGTGAGCCCTCAAAGCCTTGGGGAAGGGGCTGGAGAATTGCTGAGGAGCTGGGAAGGGGCTGGAGAATTGCTGAGGAGCTGGGAAGGGGCTCAGCCTGGAGCACAGGAGGCTCAGGGGGCCCTTGTGGCTCTGCACAGCTCCTGCCAGGAGGGGACAGCCGGGGGGTCGGGCTCTGCTCCAGGGAACAGGGACAGGAGCAGAGGGAACGGCCTCAGGGGAGCCTCAGGGTGGGCATCAGCAGGAATTTCCCCATGGAAAGGGGGGTCAGGCACTGGAAGTGCCCAGGGAGGTTTGGAGTGCCATCCCTGTGGCCCTTGGGGACAGGGGCACTGGTGGCCCTGGCAGAGCTGGGATGGTTGGACTGGACAGGCTCAGAGGGATTTTCCATCCCGAGTGACTCCATGGCTCTGATTTTTGGGACAGGCCCTGTGGTGGTCAGGGAGCACAGGGGCTGTGCCCAGCCCCACCCAGAGCTGTGCCTGCCTCTGCCATGTTTTCCCTGGAGAAATGCCAGGGAGCTGCTCCCTGCGGGCTCAGGGGACTCCTCAGGGCCAGCAGCTGCAGCTCTGCCCCTCTGCTCCACACCAGCCCTGGCACAGACCCCCGGAGCAGCCGGGGGCACAGGGGGTCCTTGAATGCCCATCCCACACCTCATGGAGCTCCTGGAGCAGCTCCTTCCTGCCCCCAAAGCTCTGTCTCATTTTTGGAGCCATTCCACAAAACCTGTGGTTGATTTTTCAGGCACAATGAGCCTCACTCAGAAGCTGGTGCTCTCAGGCCATCCTCACCAAGCCATTCCCTGATTTACAGCAGCTTTTCTGCACCAGCAGGGAGAACTAAAGCACCAGAATTATTCACTGCCATGAATCATCACCTCCCTTCCAATCAAACCCATATTTATGTACAAAAGTTCTGATCCTATTTCCTCCCTGCTTCCAGCCCACTCTGCCACTCCAAGTCAGTGACTGCCAGAACTCATTAATTCCTCAATCTTTACTGTACCAGCATCTGGAATTCTCAGACCAGGGAAAAAAAATGTCCTGAAAATACCCTGCCCAAGTATAGCAACAAATTAAAGTCTTTCTAGTGGTAAATTCCCCAAATTAGAGTAGGAAGATGTTTTGCAGAATACACTACAAGTGCTGACTTCCAAAATCCAATGACTTGCTGCTCCCAACAAACAGCCAAGCCTATTACTCCAGCTCTGGAATACTCCAGGAAAGGAGCTGTTCCAGCCAGGAGTTTAACACTACAACTGAAGTGCAAGTTTAAGAGACAGAGTTTAAAGAAAAGGCCAGTTTTAGTTTCAGTGCTGAAACTAAACAGGGACACTGGTTTATCCCACAGCTTCCCAAACAGGGGTCCTGGCTGAGCAGGGCCAGTGCTGGGCAAACAGAAATTGTTGGAACCCTCAGAGGTAACCTGCCACCAGGACTGCAAGCTTTAGACTGGGTATAAATATATTATATATATTATAAAAAAAAGCCTTCTAAAATCTGGCCTCGTAGTACTGTGAGATAATAATTGCAATAGAGAGAATCAGTTAGCAAGACAATCTATTCTTGTGAGAAGACAGCTCACACGTGTGGAGAGGAAAATCCTACCCCTGAGGAACATTCACTCCCCAGGAGACAAGAATGTGAACAGACCTAGAAACAGAAAGGATTGATGGACATGGACACTAGCCATTCCCAGCCAGTGAGCTGAGCTTGAATGAACTGCTGAGCAGCTACATTCAGACATGGTGCCTTCTGATAACCATAGAAATATAATAAAACATATATTTATATAATATAGATTATATGTTATATATATAATATATAATAGATTATATTACTATGTATTATATATAATTATATAAATATATATATTGAATAGCTTATATTTCTATTATATATTTATATACATATATACTGAAATACATTTCTATCAAAAGACATATTTATTATATATATAGATATAATATCTATAATATAAATATATAAAATAAATATATGAAAATATATATAACATGTTTTATTATATATATTATATAATAAAATATGAGCTATGTGAACAGAAATTTGGCTATTCTGCATGAACAAGTGTCTTTGTCCATCTCCACTGCAACCAGGGGGCACTCCCAGCTTTGTAGGGCTGAGCCCAGAGGGACCAGGGGCACTCCCAGCTTTGTAGGGCTGAGCCCAGAGGGTGCTGCACTCCCAGCTTTGTAGGGCTGAGCCCAGAGGGGCCAGGGGCACTCCAAGCTTTGTAGGGCTGAGCCCAGAGGGTGCTGCACTCCCAGCTTTGTAGGGCTGAGCCCAGAGGGACCAGGGGCACTCCCAGCTTTGTAGGGCTGAGCCCAGAGGGTGCTGCACTCACAGTTTTGTAGAGCTGAGCCCTCAGGCGGTAGGAGCTGTACTCCTGCTTCCTCTGCTCCTCCTCCCTCTTCCTCCTCACCTCGGGGAGCTGCTCGTATATCCTAAAGGGAGAGGGAAGGCAAAAACAGAGATCTGAAACTGCCTGATACTAAAAACCACAGCTGCTGTACACAGAGAGAAATATTATAAAAGAAAAGCCCTACAAAATATGGTTTAGGTTCTGCTACTTCAGCTAAACTAGTAGCTAGCTTGTAAGTTCTGATGTGAAAAAATTACAATGAGAATCAAGTTTGCATAACAACTTATTCTTGTAAAGAAAAAAGTAATAACAAAAGATCTATCCTATGAGAACCTACAAATAAAAAATGTAAACACCTGAAGAAAAAAAGCATTAACACACATACACACACACACAAGCACTTTCTAACCAATATATTGGTTACTAACCAGTTAGAGTCAAACATGTCTTTGAAAACTGTATGAATATGAGCTTTATTTATTTATACATTTATACTATTTACTATATTTATACATTTATATTTACTTTGTTTATTTAATATGAGCTTTATTCTTCCTGCATGAAGAAACTGAGTCCCATCTGCTTTACTGCAACACACACCCTCTGCTTTATCCCCACATCCCTAAGGGCTGCTGCCCAAGCACATCCCTGACAAAAGCATTTGCAGTTTGCTGGTGTCCCACTGTGGAGTCCCCAGCAGCACTGGGCCTGGGAATTCCTGCCCCTGGGACACCTCTCCTGTCCCTGGGACACCTCTCCTGACCCTGGGACACCTCTCCTGCCCCAGCAGTGCCTCTCCTGCCCCTGGGACACCTCTCCTTCCCCTGGGACATCTCTCCTGCCCCTGCAGTGCCTCTCCTGCCCCTGGCACACCTCTCCTGACCCTGGGACACCTCTCCTTCCCCTGGCACACCTCTCCTGCCCCTGGAACACCTCTCCTGCCCCTGGCACACCTCTCCTTCCCCTGGAACACCTCTCCTGCCCCTGGAACACCTCTCCTGCCCCTGGGATGCCTCTCCCACCCCAGCACCTCCTCAGAGCAGCCCCTGTAGCTCTGCCCTGCCGTGGTGACCCAGCTGGAGCTCAGTGTCCCCCGTGTCCCCAGCCCAGGACACTCCCATGTCCCTCCAGCCATGGCAGGAGTTCAGCACAGCAATCACCTCACTGAAGCTTTTCAGGCATTTCCAAAATTCCAGTGCTTTCAGTAGTGTTGCCCTGCTTTGCCTTCTCCTGTGCTGATGCTTCCCCAAGTTTTCCTTCAATCCTGCAATGGTTTGGTTTGGAAGGACCTCAAAGCCCATCCAGTGCCACCCCTGCCATGGGCAGGGACACCTTCCCCAGACACCCTAAGAACACTCTTAAATGCTAAAAATCATTAAAATGTATCATGAAAATCATTAAAGTCACTAAAAATCATCAAGGGGATTGTTTTATGTATTGTGTATTGCAGCAGGTGTTTGGTGGAATCCCAGAGAAACCGAGGCTGGCAGAAACCTCCGGAGGCCACCAAGCTCCTGCTCAAAGCAGGGTTAATGCCAAGGCTGGACCAGGCTGCTCAGGCCTCATCCCACCAACCTGTGATTATTTCCAGGAACTCAGGCTCTGCTGGTCCTGGCCCAGCACTTCCCATCCCATTCACAGCAAAATTCAGCTGCAGTGAACTCCCTTTTTTTACTGTTCCTTCCCACACCCCCTCTGCAGCACAGCTCTTCCAAAGGGTAAATCCATGGCAGTGTGCTGGGCACTCAGGGATGAATTACTGCAGTCAAAAATAACACAAACCCTACCCAAGGTGCTTTTTCCAAGGGTAAAAGTCTCTGTATTCCCTTGGGGTGATTATTTCTATAGAAAGCCTCTTCCTTTGGGGGAATGGTGCCTCGCTGCTGCCCCAATTACCCACTTTGTTAATTTGTGTCCCCCAGCCCATTCCCTCTCCACGTGGGACCAAGTTTGCTGTGGATGGCTGACACTGCAGCAGAATCCTCAGCTTTAGCTACAGGAATCACTTTTCCAAAATGATTTTGTTTCTTGGAACTTCTAAGCAGGACATTTCTCCCTCTGATAAGGCACCTGCATTTTTCACTGAAAAAGCTGAATTATTTGCACACTCAGTTCTTTGACTGCAGAAAGGATTCAAAGCTCTTCCCTAGCCAGGGCACTGATCCACCTGAAATAAAATTCCCTGGACTTTACCTTTTAGACCTTTGAAACATCTCACGCTTGGGAATTGCTCTTCTTTTTTCTCTCATCAAGAAACCTGAACAGAAAATTTTGAGATAAGGGAACGATGAACGAGTTTGTTACAGCAACAACGTGAGTCCTTTGTAAGTTTTATAGAAGTTCTTACAAAAAACTCTTTGTAAGATCTTACAGACAACAGGGTTAAGTAACTGTAACAGCTTTAGGAGAAATACCTAGTAAATAAATACACCCTGCAGCGTAATGTGGAGTTCATGAAACCAAAGAATTCAAAGCAGAGCCCTGAAGTACCTCGGTTGGACAGCAGGTGATTTGCAGTCCTGCAGTCCTTCCTCCTCCCTGCAGGCTGCAGCAGCTGCTGGGGTGGCAGCAGTCTTTCCCCCTGGGGTGGCAGCAGTCTTTCCCCCTGGGGTGGCAGCAGTCTGTCCCCCTGGGGTGGCAGCAGTTTCTCCCTCTGGGATGTGTGCAGCCTCCTCTCCTCGCGGAGCAGCCGCAGGTGCTGCAGGCGCTGCCCCGAGCGCGAGATGAAATCGGGGCGGTGCAGGGCCAGGGCCTCCTGAGGGGACACAAACAGACCCTGCCTGGCCAAGCTGGGGCTGGCAGCTGCAGGGGAGACCCAGAACATCCACCACGAACCCCAGAGCATGGGAAAAAATCCCCTGACAATATTGGGTGCAATATAAAACTCCTGTCCTTACGGCTGGGTAGGTGCTCGGAGGCCAGCAGCCTCTGAGCCTCTGGTTTAACAATGTGGAAATAAACTGGCCAGAAAGGAAAAAAAACCCAAAATAATAATAATAAAAACTCATTTTGATCTCATACTATGTACACCTCAGTACTGTTTCTGCATGGAAACAAGTGTGGTGGGACATTCTGTCAGCTACATCCCCCTGGTTCCTGAAGCCAAGGGGTTTAATCCCTGTAACACCAGACCTGGTCAAATACTGGGGAAACAACTTAAACATCCTGGGGAAAGCCAGACTGCCATGAGCATGTGGAGGGCCCAGCAGTGCCTGGCCCAGCGTGGCCTCACCTGCAGCGTGAGCTTGCCCAGGGGCTGCCCCAGACCCCTGCCAGCCCCCGTGGCTGTCGCGGCTCCCTGGCCCAGGCTGGGCTGCTCCTCCCAGTTCCTCTCCCGCAGGGGCTCTCTCCAGGGCTTTGTGCTGCTCCAGGGCTCAAACCAGGCTGGCCCAGGGCCAGGAGTGGCACTGCACTGGTTTTCCTTCCTCGACTCACATTCCAAGCCCTCTGCTGGGACGAGCCACGGAGTCCCTGTTAGAAGAACACAGAAGAGAAAGAAGATTTGAGGCAATTCCTGTGCCTGTTGTCCATCCCAATCCATGGTCATTCCTGCAGGAATGAGGGGACACAGCCAGGAGAGGTGATGCCAGCTGACCCAAGGGGCATCCCAGATCACAGACAGGAGACAGAGCTGAGGGAAGAGGAAGGGGAGCACTTGGAATGATGGTGCTTTGACCTCCCAAGTTACATCAGGCACAGTGGAGCTCTCCTGGGGATGGGAAAGTGGGCAAGGGCTTTCCAGGATCCCTCCAGTGCCTACAGGGGGTTCCAAGGAGGCACAGAGGGACCTGGGACAAGGGGAAATGGTCTGAAGCTGAAGGAGGGCAGGTTTACACCAGATATGGGGAAGGACCCTGGGAGGGTGGGTAGGGGCTGGGCTGGAATTCCCAGAGCAGCTGTGGCTGCCCCTGGATCCCTGGCAGTGCCCAAGGGCAGCCTGGGACAGTGGGAGGTGTCCCTGCCATGGCAGGGGTGGCATTGGGTGGGATTTCCCACCCAACCCATTCCAGGATTCTTCAAGTGGAGAATGAATTCCCTGTCTGGCTGTGTTTGTGTGGCTTTTCCTTTCCCTTCTATCCTGTCTCTATCCCAATCCAGTGGTTTCCCCACTCTCACCCTCCCATCCTGTCCCACGTCCCTCAGAAGGGAAGGGCCAGGGGGCTCAGGTGCAGCTGGGGTTAGGGCACAGCAGTGCCCAGGTTTGCAGCTAAACCCAGCCAGTGCCAGCACTGCAGCAACCCCTCACTGCAGCTGAATTCAGGGGAATTTCTGTGGGAAAAACCTTGGGCAGGCTCAAGAGAATTCCTTCCCTAGCAAGCCTTTATCAAACACCACTTTTGAAAAGCCCAGAACTGTTCACTTTCCATGTTTCCCTCAATGGAAAGAACAGTTATTTACCAGCAATCACACGTTTTTAAGGAGCCTTTCTGCTGGGCTAAGCCCTGTGGCTCTTCATCCGTGTTTTGGAAGATCATATGCTTTCCATCTCCCAAATGCTCAACGTGTCTCCAGGAATTGAGTTACTCACAGTTTACACACACAATGATGTGAATGCATCAGCTGGGATTCTGAGCAGATATTCTGAAATTTCTAAATTAAACCCTTATGAGAGAGAATGATCAGTCCCCACAACAACAACAGTGATGAGTAAGGGAAATATTTTTAAACATTTAATTGTGACGTTGTGAAGAGTGGCAGGAATTTAAGAGACAAAAAAAAAAAAAAAAAAGGGAAAAAAAAAGAAAACGTCAGGAGACTCCACCAGCAGCCTAAAAATACATCTCTCAAAAACAGTCAAGTTCTTCCCAATTTTCACCCAAGTACTCTGGAAAAATCTTCTGGGAAGCCTCAGGGCATGAGACATTAAGGACAAGTTGGTGACCAGCACTGAGAGTTTACCAGAACCCTTTGTATCTCAGAAACTCATGTTAAGCACCTCTCCACCTTGTCTGTTCCTCCCTAATGACTGCATTTCCTGCTGTAACAGCCCTGTCACGGCTGAACTGCCATCAGGAGTGAGCAGCAGCACCCCCGGCAGGGTTTTGTTGAGCCCTCCGGAGATCCCAGCAGGAGGAGGAGGATGCAGCAGGGTCAGCCCTGTGCAGAGCCATGAGCCTGCAGGGGAAGGGCAGGGGATGCCCTGGAGAGGTGACCTCAGGCTCGGGGCACTCCTCACAGCTCAGGGTGAGCAAGGAGGCTTCCCCCACGGTGCTCTGCAGCTCTGTGGGATGTATCCAGTTCTGTCCTGCCCACTGGCCTTCCCTACATGTTCTAGAGAGTTCTCCCTTCCCCGTTACCCCACTGGTTTGTGTAACCCTGCCCATCCACCCTGGCACCCCCCATTGTGTGGAATCCTCTGCCCTTTGCCCACCCCTGTGCCTCAGGTCACTGACCCCACCCCTGAACCTGTGCAGACCCCACGGTTTTGCTTTGTCCCTGATCCCTTCAGCGTGCTTTGGGATAAACCTTTGCTGGAATACATCATACAGGAACCCTTCCTGTCCTTGCTCTGCTGAGCTGTGGGGTGTGTGCATGCACTGGGAATGGCTGCTGCCATGGCCTGGCTCTGAGCAGCTGCTGCAGGAGGCACCTCAAAGGAGGCTGCAGCACCTCTACCACCCTGCAGCACCTCGGTCCCTTCCCTGTGCACCAGCCCTGTGCCCTCAGACCACTGGATCCCTGGCTCCCTGCTCCTGCATTCACAGCCTGGACCCTCCTTTGTGCTTGTCTCTGCCCCGGACCATTTCAGCACTGTCTGAAGTAAAGCACGTTGGAACTGGACCCTCCTGTGCTGTGTGTGTTGACACATGAGGTTAGGAATTAACTGAGGCTAGAAACCCATTCCAGATTTAGGATAAAGCACGTTGGAACTGGAGCCTCCCGTGCTGTGTGTGTGTTGACACATGAGGTTAGGAATTAACTGAGGCTAGAAACCCATTCCAGATTTAGGTGAAGTGTGCTGCTTTGACTTGTTTCATCTGTGTATTCATTTGCTGTACTTGTAAAAACCCTGTGCTTGCAAAAGCCTACAGCTCCCAAAACTGCCTCAAACAAGGTGGAAAGAATGTGAAATTCCGAGCTAGAAGAAAATAAGAGAGGCCCCTTGGACCTTAAAACAAGAAGCAAACCAAAACTAAAGCTACAGGAGATGGATGGACAACCAGAGAGCTCTCTGCACAAGAACTGATCAGAACTAACTGTGATCAATAAATATGCAAAAATCTGTTGTGAAACTTAATGCATATGCTACAGGTTAAGGGGCAAAAAGGAAGTTTAGACTTGAAGAGCACACAAAATTTAGAAATTATTCCCCTTGTACCCAGTGCTATAATAAACACTCCACCTTTCAACTATAATTAGCTGAAGATTTGTCTGTCCACACATCAGTGTGTGTGCTGTGCTCTCGTGGCTCCTGCCCCTTGGCACAGGGTGCTCTTGGGGCAGGTTGTGTCCACCACCACCACGGATTGTGACACAGCCCTGGCTGTCCCCACCCTGCCCCAGGTGTCCCCAACCCTGCCCCCAGCCCTGGCCTGGCTGTCCCCAGCCCTGCCCCAGGTGTCCCCAGCCCTGCCCTGGCTGTCCCCAGCCCTGCCCCAGGTGTCCCCAGCCCTGCCCTGGCTGTCCCCAGCCCTGCCCAGGTGTCCCCACCCTGCCCTGGGTGCTGACCTTGCTGGAAGTGCAGCCTGCTCCTCCTGGTCCGTGTGTCTGTCCGGAGCCTGCCCGGCTGTGCCCGGGGCTCCTGTCCCTGTCCCGGGGGCTCCCACAGCTGCTGGCCGCTCCTGGGCGTGGGGAAGGTCACCCCCACGTCCCGGGTGTTCTTCTTGGTGGCACTGCTGACGATCTCCAGGTCCCCTGGAACGGAAACCAAGCAGGGACGTCTCAGTCCCGGGGCCAGGGCAGGGAACGACCCCACTCCAGCCCAGAGTGAAGTGCCTCACCCACCTCCAGCAGTCAGGTGTCCCCAGCCCTGCCCTGGCTGTCCCCAGCCCTGCCCCAGGTGTCCCAGCCCTGCCCCGGGTGCTGACCTTGCTGGAAGTGCAGCCTGCTCCTCCTGGTCCGTGTGTCTGTCCGGAGCCTGCCCGGTTGTGCCCGGGGCTCCTGTCCCTGTCCCTGTCCCTGCCCCGGGGGCTCCCACAGCTGCTGGCCGCTCCTGGGCGTGGGGAAGGTCACCCCCACGTCCCGGGTGTTCTTCTTGGTGGCACTGCTGACGATCTCCAGGTCCCCTGGAATGGAAACCAAGCAGGGACGTCTCAGCCCCAGTGCCAGGGCAGGGAACGACCCCACTCCAGCCCAGAGTGAAGTGCCTCACCCACCTCCAGCAGTCCAGACCTTTTATATTCGTATTTTACACTTCCCCAAACCAAGGAGAGTTTCCAGTGGCTCGGGATTGTTACTGCGTGATAATCTGAGGGAAATTCAAACCAAATACCCCAAGCAAAATGTACATTTATCTGGGGGTGGGAATTCAACTGGAGTTAACTCTGCACTATGAAAATCCTTCCCTGATTCAATCTGCTTGCACACAAGCAGGAATAAATAAATAATTGCTGTATCTAATGAATACGTGTGTCTGTCCGGAGCCTGCCCGGTTGTGCCCGGGGCTCCTGTCCCTGTCCCTGTCCCTGCCCCGGGGGCTCCCACAGCTGCTGGCCGCTCCTGGGCGTGGGGAAGGTCACCCCCACGTCCCGGGTGTTCTTCTTGGTGGCACTGCTGACGATCTCCAGGTCCCCTGGAATGGAAACCAAGCAGGGACGTCTCAGCCCCAGTGCCAGGGCAGGGAACGACCCCACTCCAGCCCAGAGTGAAGTGCCTCACCCACCTCCAGCAGTCCAAACCTTTTATATTGGTATTTTACACTTCCCCAAACCAGTGGCTCGGGATTGTTACTGCGTGATAATCTGAGGGAAATTCAAACCAAATACCCCAAGCAAAATGTACATTTATCTGGGGTGGGAATTCAACTGGAGTTAACTCTGCACTATGAAAATCCTTCCCTGATTCAATCTGCTTGCACACAAGCAGGAATAAATAAATAATTGCTGTATCTAATGAATAAACCAAGGCCATTACTCAATGTGGTGATGGGGAGTTGGCGTGGAAATGAAAGCAATGAAGAAACTGCTAATTGCCACCAGAAAAAACCCAACTGCAGAACTGCACCAGGCCAGGAGCAGCTCGGGACTGAAATAGCACTGAACACCCAAAATATTCCCAGGAAGAACACGGAACACTGCAGTTGCCTTCTGAAATAGCATATGCCTACAAAACCCATTCTGGGAGGAACAGATGTCTTGGGGAAAAAAACAATAGATAAAAAAAGGCAGCTCACCTTTGCCATAGAAATAGAGCAGAAGCTGAGGTTGATAAACTTTACAAGTGAGAAAATTGGCTTTTAAAGCAGCCCAAGGATGGCAAATAAACAGGTCATGTTCACTGAACACATCACCCTTCCCTGACAGCATTTGGAGTGAATCTGGAGGGTGCTGCCTGCACAGACCCATCACCAGGAACTGGGGAGAAGGGGTTCCAAAGGCAGGAGCAGCCCAGGGAGGTGTGGGATTCAGGGCCTCACCTGCCTGGATGCCTTTGCTCAGCATCCGTGTCCGTCTCTTGTGGCTGAGGGCAGAGCTGGGCCCCCAGGAGCTGCTGCTGGCACAGGTGGAATCCGAGGAGAAGGGGATGGTGCTCTACAAAAACAGGCAAGGGAACAGGAGTTCCTGAAATTCCAACCCAAAAGAGCAGCAAACAGCATTTAAACAGAAGGAAGTCATTGCTTTTCCCCTGTTGCACCTCGGTTCTGCTGTTGTCAGTGCCGAGCCCAGGCTGATCTGTCCCACTGCTCTCACAAAAGCCAGCCCTGGCTCCACCCCGTGCACTTCCAGCAGCCCACTTTGGTACATTAGTGAAAAGCACGTTATTTACATGACAAAAACACATTATTTCTGTGGGAGCAGCTTGCTGGGATCAGTCAGGACAGCACTGGGCATCCTCCAGCCCACCTGGGGCTGCTCAGCTGAGGGGACAGCTCAGAGCCCCTTCCAGGCCTGGAGGGGCTCCAGGAGAGCTGCAGAGGGACTGGGGACAAGGGACAGAGGGACAGGGGATGGCTTCCACTGCCAGAGGGCAGGCATGGATGGGATACTGGGATTAGGAATTGCTCCCTGGGAGGGTGGGCAGGCAAAACCCTTTTGAAGCAGGGGAAGCTCCCTCACGCTGTGATCCTCACCACAGAGTCCTCCAGGTGGGAGAAATTCAACTGCACAAATCCAAGAAACAGGAGGGACAGGGGAGTCTCACACCTTCCTTCACACCAAGCCAGGTGTGAAAGCTGCAGGGCTGGACACAGCTTGCAGGTCACACATTAATTTCAATTAATAAAGCCATTAAAAGCAGGAAGGCTGTGCCAAGCCTTGGCTCTGTGGGCTTTATTAACACCAGTGAGCTGGCAGCACCTCCAGGCAGTGCCCACAGCTCCCCTGAGCTCCAGCTCTAATTACAGAGCTGCAATCAGGAACCTGGAGAAAATTACCTGGTGTCCTGTGAGTAACCCCCAGCACCAGCCACCACGGAAATGCAGAGGTCTGCTCTTCATTCCCTTTTACTGCAGCTCCATCACCCCAAACAAAACTCCAACACCAGGAGGAGGCCATTCTGGCTCTCATAAACCTGCTTTTCCTTAATTCCCTGTAACTGTCCCAGCCCCAGGAGATCCAGGAGAGGCACTCACAGATATGGATTTCCTTTCAGATAACAGAACATGTGAGCATTTGTATTGTGAACGTGTGAATGTGAATTATGTGCCCAGTAAAAACGTGTAAGAGCAGGGAGAAAACCCCCAGGATATGCCCTTCCCTGCACTTCCATGCAGCCTGGGCAGTGCAGGAATATTCCTGGTGGGATGGGAGCATTCCCTGCTCTCCACTTCAGCTCTGCAGCTGCTGCCACACGGCAGCTCCAGGAGGAAAACCCCCAGGGATGCTCTGGAGCTGCACATGCAGCAAGCTGGAAGCAGCATCTCTGGAAGCAGGGATGGAGACCTGCCTCAAACCACACATCTGCACTAAAAATACAAATAAATCTTCACTTTTCCTCAGCTAAACAGCCCAGAAGTGACCAAAATTGGAATTTTTAATTAAAGTTTTATATTTTGCCATCTATCTTCTCTCACTTCTTATTTGATGGTCACGTATCCTCAGATGGATTTTTTAAAAGAATATTTCACCAGCAGATAAAAAATGTGAGTTTCTAAAGCCATGGGGGTTCAATGAGCCTTTAAAGGGTTTATTCCCCATAGCATTAATTCCATTTGTCATTTCACAGGTGATTTAACAGGTTAAAAAATCAGATTTGGGTTTAAGGTTCAATGGACCCTGAAAAACTATCTTCTGAATGGAAGGTGGAATAAAATCATCTTCTGAATTCTACAGCTGTGCCAGAAATGTTGGATCCTAATGCTGGTGTTCTGGCTACTAGTCCTAACATTGCAAAGTTCAGGACAGTTTTGTTTTACCTTCAAATAAATGTTATGAATAAAAATATTGAATAAAATATTTTTAAACCATTCTTCACCTTCAAAAAGATTGTTTCTCCCCCAGATTTATGTAGTTATTGGCATTATTTTTAATTATTTCATAATTCACGGGCTTATTTGACAAACAGACTTGGAGTTATTTCTATAAAATAGAATAGCTGATTTCAATTAAATCTGGTAGTAATGACACCAGTTCCACTTTAATCTGGAGATACAAAAAAATGAAAAAAGTAATTCAATATTCCTCACATGTCCTCTGCTTTTCAGCATTCCTGTGTATCACAGAACCCCTGAACTCTGTAATACCTTACTGAAATCACCAAATCCTCTTTAAGAACATTTCCATTTCTCCTGCCAAGGGCAACAGCTGAATTCACCTGAAGGAATTCTTCCCTCCCCTTCCAAACAGCTGCAGAGTTCTCACCTGGAATTCTCAGCTCTTTAAAGAAAAATAATCCACGACCAACCAGACAAAACAATTTACAATTTTTTTACAAGCCTAATAGCAGGGAAATTCCAAAATTGTGTGGATCCTTGCCCAGGGATGCCTTGGCTGCAATTTCCATCAGATTTACAACCTCATGTTGGGCAGTGCCCAAGGACCAGGGACAGCAGGATCTGTTCCCAGGGACAGCAGGATCTGTCCTCAGGGATCAGGGACAGCAGGATCTGTTCCCAGGGATCAGGGACAGCAGGATCTGTTCCCAAGGGAATAGAGACAAGGAAGGAAGCCCAGGTGGTGTTTGCCAGCCTGAGCTGCTGCCCTGGCTCCTGCAGGACCCTGGCTGGGGCTGCCCCCATGGATGGCAGAACCAGTGATCCCCTACAAACCAGTGATCCCCAGTGATTCCCAGAGATTCCCAGTGACTCTCAGTGACTCCCAGCTCACAGAGCCAGCAGCAGTGGGGATTCCCGTGGGGATGGGGCAGGGCTGGGCTCAGGGAGCTCTTACCTGGCTCTGCTGGTGCTTCCCGAGGCTCTGAGCAGCCCCCTGGGGACACGCCCCAGCCCCTGCTGCTCCACTCTGCCCGTGCCACTTCTCGGAGCGCCTCTTCTGCTGGCTGATGGCACAGTAGAGCTGGGCCAGCCGTGGGGACAGCCCTGGGGACAGCCGTGGGGCCGGGCTCGGGGTGTCGGTGCTTGGGGCCAGCCTGTGCTGCCCGAAGGCCCGGAGCAGCCTGGCCGTGTCGATGGTGGACAGGGACAGGGAGCTGCTGTCCCCGGAGGCAGGGGAGGTGTCCCATGCCGAGGTGCTGCAGCTGCTGGGCTCTCCGCTCAGCCTGCTCTCCGAGGAGCTGTCACTGGGGATGCCCAGGTGCTGCTGCTCCTCCAGGATCCTGCTCAGGTGCTGGATCACCTTCTGCCCCGGGCTGCTGCTGCCATGGCTCTGTCCCGCTCCCCTCGGCTCCCCGCCGCTCCCAGAGCCGCCTTTTCCCGCCAGCCCCATTTCTGGCCGTTCCCTTCCCCGGATTTCCTCCTGAGGAACCTTCTCCCCAGCTGCTGTGGGTGCCAGGGCGTGCCTGACGGGGTTCTGCAGGAGCCTGGCCAGCCGATCCAGGCGCTCCACGAGGGACAGCTCGCCGTTCCTGCGGAGCTGCTGCTGCGTGCCCTGGCGCTGCAGGAACCTGACCCACAGCTCGTCCAGGCTGCCCCCGGCGCGGCCCCTGTGCCGCGGTGCCTTCCCCCCGCTCTCCTGCCCGAAGGACGCCCTGGCACCGGGCTCCTCGCTCCTGCTGTCATCAGCCTCTGCAGGGAGGGCGAAGAACTGCCCCTCTGTGCCCTGGGGGGCGCGGGGACCCCGCGGGCAGCGGGCAGGCTGTTCATTCCCGGCTCTGGAGAGCTCTCTGCCACGCCGGCAGCAGCTGTGCCCGGCGGGCACGGCGCGGGGCTCAGGGACACCACGGGAGGCTTCCACACGCCGGGAACCAGCTGGGAGCTCTGCAACACACAGAACACTTCAATGCTTTGCTGCTCTGCTTCAAGTGGAGGGTTTTCATCCTAAAGCTCCCAAAACACCACAAAGGACTAAAAGCAGGATCACCGAGCTCATTCCCGAACGCAGTGAACTTGGAGATGAGCTTTGAGCATTATTAAAATCACATGAACAAATGTTTTCTGTCTTTTGCAACATGGAATCCAAGGGAATATTCCATCCAAGTGAATCTGGGGAGGAGTCTAATTCCACCTCAGGGAAGTGCCCTGACCAACCCTGAACTGAGCCTGTATTTAGTCATGGAAGGGACCCCAAAGCCCATCCAGTGCCACGGGCAGGGACACCTCCCACTGTCCCAGCCAGCCTGGCCTTGGACACTGCCAGGGATGGGGAAGCCCTGGCCATCCACGAAACACACACAGCATGAGCAGGACCGCTCTCCAAAACAGCTTTAAAGTGATTTTTAATATCTGAAAACCATCCAGTTTTAAAATGTGCCTTGTGTTTTTTGTAGAAAGGCCTGGGTGGTTGCATCTCCTCCCTTCCCAGCACAGGGGCTGTGGTGGAACACAGAGATCACGGATGCTGCAGCCAGGCCCAGCCTCACTAACTCTGGAAGTGCAGGAATTTTTCTTCCCATACAAGGGCAATGTTTATAAACTTGTGTAAGAGGCTTCCTCCACATCCTCCTGACAAATGAGATCAGGCTTGGGAATGCCAGGCAGAACTTTGCTATTCCTGGCTTTTTAGAAAGTTACCAAGAAATGGAAGGAATGTAAACAGGCAAAAAATAAGTTTGTATAGAGAAACTTTTTTTTAAAAAAAATACATAACTTGCATAATTTTAAGCTCTAGACAAGCTCTGTGGGTAGAGGTAATCTTATATTAGATCATCTAAAAATACAGTTGAAGAAGTCAGGGAAGATTTAAGACAGGCAAGTCTTTCTTCTGAAAGCTTCTTTAAAGTTCCAGCTGCACTGGCTGCCTTCACAAAATATTCTTTCTCCTTACAGTTCTTTTCTTACCTTGCTGTGATGGGCCTTCAGACCATCACAGCAATAAAAAAATGTTAGGAGATAATTTTATGTTAACACTTTTGTTCCCCTCTCGTTTTTATCCAGGTTATTGATGTTGCAGCCTTACATAATCATTGCAATTTTCCTGTGCAAATAAAAATTGTCTTCTGGAAACACCAAAAGGAAGAGAGGAAGAGCTTCAAAGAAAAAAAAACCCAACCTCAAGTGAAAAAAGAAAATGATCAGATGGAAACCCTCTCAACACATCAGGACAGGAACCATCAGGACAGCAGCTGCTGCAGGAGTGGTCTGCTCCAGCCTCCTGTGTGCAGAAGCCAGCACCAGCACTCACAGTCAGGGCTTGTGCTGCACAGTGCCCACCAGGGTTATTTCAGCTGCTGCCACCAGAGCCAGGGCACCCAGGGCTGGGCTCAGCCTGAGCCCCTGGGGCAGCATCCTCAGCAAACACAGCCTGGAGTGCAAACCCTGCCCTTCCTCCCGGGGCAGCTCCTCCAGCCAGGCAGGGACAGGGCAGGGCAGGGCAGGGATGGGACAGGGACAGGGCAGGACAGGACAGGGACAGGGACAGGCACAGGCACAGGCACAGGGACAGGGACAGGGACGGGACAGGACCAGGGACAGGGACGGGACAGGGGCAGGGACAGGGATGGGACAGGGCAGGACAGGGCAGGGACAGGCACAGGCACAGGGACAGCAGCACACTGACTGCAGCTCGGGGGCACACAGGGCACAGAGGAACCTAGGGAATCCCAGCTGGCTGCAGCCACAGGGAATTCCTGACAATCCCTGGAGACATGGGAATGCCAGCAAATACTGATGGCCAAGTTTTCCATGGAATCCTGGAATGGGCTGTGTTGGAGGGATCTGAAATCCCACCCAGTGCCACCCCTGCCATGGCAGGGACACCTCCCACTGTCCCAGGCTGCTCCCAGCCCTGTGCAGCCTGGCCTGGGACACTCCAGGGATGCAGAGTCCCGAGCCTGCAAGGGAAACCTGGATTTTATCAGTCAGGGAGAAGCAGAAAGACAGGAAGAGAAAATGGAGTCAAATTCAGCATTGTCTGGCAGACTCAGCAATGTCACCAGAACCACGGATCCTGAAGTGTCAAATCTTTTGCTCTGACTTCCTTCACATGTATGAACACACAGAAACAATTACGAAATTAAATCCACATTGTAATTACCTGCAGAGTGTTCCAGTGGTGCCCTGTGCTCCTCAGCCCAGGCCAGCTTAGGCCCGTGGCCATGGCCTGTCCCTCTGTGCTGGGCAGCTGCCCTGGCTGGAGGGGGCTCACCCCCCACACGCAGCACTCGGGCCAGGAGCCCTGCAGCAGGAGCATCCTCTGAGCCTGCAGAGAGAGAGCAGCGTGAGTGCAACAGCAGACCCAGAAATGGCACAATTAACCTGCAATCAGGAGCCCTGCCAGCGTCCCAGGCCAGGCTGGGCTTGGAGCAGCCTGGGACAGTGGCAGGTGTCCCTGCCACGGCAGGGTGGGATGGGATGGGCTTTAAGGTCCTTCCCACCAAACCACTCCATGACTCCACGATCCCACGCCTGTCTCAAGGTTAGAAGCCTAGAACTGTCCCCACCAATTCCTCCTCCTTGCCAACCCCTCCTGGTTACATCCCATGGATTTCCTGCACTCAGGTCCTTCAGCTGCTCCCCCTGAGCTGAGCCCTGAGTGCAGCAGGGACTGGGAAAAACAAAATGTATTTTTCCATCCTGCTGTACGTTTTCCTAGAACCTTGTGCTGCTTCATTTGCATAGTGAATTTTTATATATGGCACCATCATTTCTGCAAAACAACAGATTTGCATCACATTTGTTTCTCTCATTTTGGACACATTTCCCTAGATAAACTTGAAAAAGGTCAAGAGCAGAGATGCCTAAACCATGCCCAGCACAATTTGTGGCCATAGTGACTGATCTGGGCACTTCTGGCACTGTTGGATCAGCCTGATCCCTCGGTCAGCACTGCTGGAATTCAGGAACTGGAATCTCTTTTTGTCTACAGACCAAACTCTGGATATTAAAAAGCTCTGAGTGAAACCAACCTGCAAATAAAACCCGTGAGAACCTGCAATAAAAACCTGTGAAAACCTGTAATAAACCCAGTGATCCACTCTTTGCAGGACAAGTGTCAGAGATCTGCAAGGATCCCGAGTGAGCAGTAATTCCCAGAGGAAAGCAAGGGATGATCAGGCTGTAAACAGAGTGCTGCTCCCTTCCACTTCAGAGTGGAGCAAGAACCCCCTGCCAGCCCAAAAGGAGAGCAGAGCCTGCAGGCAGAGCTGCCCTCATGGCTCACACACAATTCAGACAATCCACAGGAACACCCATCCAGCCTGGATGGAGGTGCAGTCCCATCCAGGCTGGATGGAGATGCAGTAAGAACCCCCTCCCAGCCCGAAAGGAGAGCAGACCTGCAGGCAGAGCTGCCCTCATGGCTCACACACAATTCAGACAATCCACAGGAACACCCATCCAGCCTGGACAGAGGTGCAGCAAGAACCCCCTCCCAGCCCAAAAGGAGAGCAGAGCCTGCAGGCAGAGCTGCCCTCATGGCTCACACACAATTCAGACAATCCACAGGAACACCCATCCAGGCTGGACAGAGTACCTGAGCAGGAGCTGGCTGTGCTGGCCTCAGGCTCCCCAGGGCACACGCTGCCTCCTGCTTTCTGGAAAGGCACGTAGTACATGCCAGAGCTTCCCCAGGGCTTGTAGGGCAGCAGCAGGGGCTGGGCTGGGGGAGCAAGGCAAACAGTGAGCAGGAGCCAGGCTGGAGCCCCTCATGCAGCAGGGCAGGGCCTGGGCAGGGTGCTCCTGCTGCTATAGCCTGAGGAATACCTTGTTCTTCAGCAACAGGGATTGCTGTTTCATCAGCTAAATTTAAATAATTTCTTTTTTTTAATCCCCACCCACAGGTAGAAGGTTACCATCCCTTACCTGGAAAACCAGCTGTACCTATTCAGTATTAAAATGGTGATCAGGGGGGCAAACAGTGACTTACAGAAACATCCCCTGTACCCACAGAGCTCCCAGCTTTTCCCAGTTTTGCTCCTTTTAAAGGAGCAGGGATGTGTCCCTCAAGCCAATAAAAGCAACAACAGAGCCCAGTACCAATCACCCCTGGGGTGGGAAACCCTGTGAACATGCACATCCCCCTGCTGACAGACAGCCCAAACCCTGCAGTTTTCTGTTTTATTCTATTAAAAGCAGCAATGTGCAGATTTCCCTCTGATCTTTTGGGGCTATCTTGACTAGAGAGTAAATCAGTAATCAGATCCAGCTCTCAATGAACTCCAAGTGAATCAAACAAACCATCTAAACACAAACACCAGAAAATACTCTCCAACCACACTTGGGACACAAAGAATTCAGTTCTAGAGAAACCTGAACTGAATCCCAACTCTATCCACACAAATCCCTCCTGACAAGGCTGGAAAACCCAAGTTTCAGGGTTGGGTTTCCCCCACATATGAGCAACTTCAAATATCCCAATTATCTCAGGGATGTTATTTCCACAAAAAGCTGGGTTAGGTTTTGGGCTCTGACATTTATCAGTATCTTGACCTTGTGCAGATTCAAGAGCACAGACACCCACGAGACAGGAATGTGCTCACCAGGCTGCCTTGGGAAGGGGGGAATCAAAAACCCAAGTTTAAGGGTTGCAACTTCAAATATCCCCATTATCTCAGGGATGTTATTTCCACAAAAAGCTGGGTTAGGTTTTGGGCTCTGACATTTATCAGTATCTTGACCTTGTGCAGATTCAAGAGCACAGACACCCACGAGACAGGAATGTGCTCACCAGGCTGCCTTGGGAAGGGGGGAATCTCCTTGTGGGATGGAGCTGCAATCCCAGGAGCTTCAGGGCTGCTGGGGAGCGACGGCTGCTGGGCAGCACTTCTCCCCTCCTGGGGATCAACACAGATTTCTGCTGAGAACGTGGCTTTTGTAGGACTCTCCGTGGTGATCTGGGTGGCAGCATCAGAAGTCCTCGTGCCAGGCTTTGCAGGAGGGGCAGAGCTGGGGATGCCCTGGAGCTGGGCTCTGGGCCTGCCCTGCAGCAGCAGCTCCTGCCCGGGGGAAAGCACCCGGCTGGGATCTGCTGGCCCAGCTGAGCTGGGCTCCTCTGGAACACCCCCAGCAGGAGGGGATTTAGGAACACCTTCCACTGAAGCTTCTGGAGCTGCTTGTAAAGCCACTGCCCAAGCCTTGCCTTGAGGTTTGTCCCACACCTTGACCCCGTTCCCAGCACTGCTGGCACTGGGGTGACCGACCCTGGAGGAGAGGGTGATGTGCACACAGCTCAGGAATCTCCTCACTGGCGCTGAGGGAGCCTCAGGCGTGGTGGGCAAAGCCTCATCTGCAGGTGAGGGGTGAGCAGGACCCATCTGCTCCCTCACAGCCTCTTCTGGAACGAGAGGTGGCTGGTCAGGGCCTCTCCTGCCCTCTGCCAACACCCCAGCAGGGCCCTTCAGCAAGCCCCTTTGTGCAGCTGCACCCGGGCCCTCTGAGCCCCCCCGGAGCCGGGGGTGCCCAGGGGGGATCTCCTCCTGCCGGGATGGGCTCAGAGGAGGGGGTTCAACGGATGGCTTCGTTTCCTGGCTGAGCCCCCCGGCTCTGGCACCCTGCGTGTGCCCCTCAGCCACAGCTGCAGGCAGGAGCCGGGGCTGCTTGGCACTCGGGGTCTGTCTCTTCCCGGCGTGGGTGCCCCCGGGCTGCGGGGCTGTTTCCTGAGCCGCTGCAGCTGCAGCCCTGGCAGCAGGGGCAGGAGGAGCCTCGGCAGCACCCCCAGTGCCAGCCAGCGCGGGGCAGGGGGCACAGCCCTGTCCGAGGGCTCTGTGCCAGGGCTCTGTGCCCAGCCTCTCCTCCCCGGGCAGGAGCCCAGCCAGGCTCGGGGGGCTCAGGGTGATGGGGGTGCTCGGCTTGCTCAGCTCCCCGTGGGCACGGGGGGCAGCTGCAGGGCTCCCTGCACAGGGGTCCCGTGCCAGAGGGGCACGGAGCTCTGCCATGGCACTGGGGTGCCCCACGGCCGGCTGCTGCCTGTGCACCTGCAGGTCAGCAGCACTGCAGGGCTTCAGCTGCACGTCCTGCAGGTCAGCAGCACTGCAGGGCTTCAGCTGCATGTCCTGCAGGTCAGCAACATGGCAGGGCTTCAGCTGCATGTCCTGCAGGTCAGCAGCACTGCAGGGCTTCAGCTGCACGTCCTGCAGGTCAGCAGTGTTCCAGGGCTTCAGCTGCATGTCCTGCAGGTCAGCAGCACTGCAGGGCTTCATCAACTGCATGTCCTGCAGGTCAGCAACATGGCAGGGCTCAGCAGCACTGCAGGGCTTCAGCTGCACATCCTGCAGGTCAGCAGCATTGCAGGGCTTTAGCTGCATGTCCTGCAGGTCAGCAACATGGCAGGGCTTCAGCCGCATGTCCTGCAGGTCAGCAGTGTTCCAGGGCTCAGCAGCACCCCAAGGTTTCAGCTGCATGTCCTTCATCTCAGCAGCATTGCAGGGTTTTAGCTGCACATCCTGCAGGTCAGCAACATTGCAGGGCTTCAGCTGCATATCCTTCATCTCAGCAGCATTGCAGGGCTTCAGCTGCATGTCCTGCAGGTCAGCAGCATTGCAGGGCTTCAGCTGCATGTCCTGCAGGTCAGCAGTACCCCAAGGCTTCAACTGCACATTCTGCAGGTCCGTAGTGTTCCAGGACTCAGAAGCACCCCAAGGTTTCAGCTGCATGTCCTTCATCTCAGCAGCATTGCAGGGTTTTAGCTGCACATCCCGCAGGTCAGCAGCATTGCAGGGTTTCAGCTGCATGTCCTGCAGCAGGGAGCAATCCCAGGGAACAGCTCTAGGGAATGGTGCTGCTGGTGGGGAGCTGGGCTGGAGGAGCTCCCGAGTCCTGGAGAGCTGTCCATGCCTGTCCCTGGGACACCTGGGAGCCTGGACACCCCCCAGGTCCTGCTCCTGCTTCCTCAGGTGCTCAGAAGCTGCTTCCAAACCACAGAGCCAGGGATCCTGAAAAACAGAGCACGGTTCAGGGGTCACGTGGAGAACGTCCCACCCTGGCCAAACCTGGATGGGAAAAGCCAAAGATGAGAGCTGTGACCAACCAAGAGTTTGTTGTCAGGAAGGGAACCCAGCTGGTAAGGAACCAGTGAAACTTTACCCTTTCAAAGTGCCAAGCCACCACTCCCAGCCAGTTCCCATTTACAGGAGGTGCTGGTCCCACAGGAGGTGCTGCCCTGGAGCACAGCAAGAGCAGCACTCACTGAGCTGAGATCTCCTCACTGGAGCTGCCCTGGCTGAACAGAGTCACCCAGAGCTGTTCCCAGCCCTGGCAGGGCAGGCTGGGATCTGGGCAAGGAATTCCTGCCTGGGAGGGCGGGCAGGGGCTGGGCTGGGATTCCCAGAGCAGCTGTGGCTGCCCCTGGATCCCTGGCAGTGCCCAAGGCCAGGCTGGGCACTGGGAGCAGCCTGGGGCAGTGGGAGCTGTCCCTGGCACAGCAGACTGCAGGAGCCAGGAGCAGCAGCTCTCCCACCCCTGCCTGCAGTTCTGTTCCCAGTCTGGGGCAGGATCAGGGAATGCTGGCAAGGGACAGGACACAGACAAAATTCCATGGGGATCCAGCCCTCCCATCCCCTGTCCCTGTGTGTGGGGCTCAGGCCACCACCCTCCTGTGCACAGAGCTTCTGCAGTGGCCCCAGGCTGCACCAGAGGATTTTTAGAAAGGATTTCAGGGAAAATCTCTGCCTGGAAAAGGTTAGCAGGCATTGGAACAGGGAGCTGGTGGTGCCACCATCCCTGGAATTGCACAAAAATGTGTGGGTGAGGCACGTGAGGATACTTTGGTGCTGGTTGATGGTTGGACTCGATGATCTTGGAGGTCTTTTCCAGCCTGAATGATTCCATGATTCCAACCACCAACATAAATTTATTCATTCAAGTGTAACCCAAAATTCCAACACTTCCACTGAAGAGAGTAAATCTGAGATAAATGTGCTGCCATGGAGATGGGCCAGATAAGCTGAATTACAGAAAAAAGACACAAAAAATCTAGGTTATATTTACTTTTTCCTACTGATTGGGCCAACTGTGGAAGCAGCAGAGTGTATTTCAGTCATGAAGCACCACGGGCCCCTGGGTGATTATATCCCCATCAACCACTGGGAATTTGGCAACAAAAAGCAGTGGGAAACATTTTTGGTGTAAACCAAACACATAAAAAAGTATTTCACAAGAGCTTTCCCAGCCCTTCTCCATCCCAGATGTCCTGACAGCAGCGACTGCTCCAGCAGGGCCTGGATCACTATCCCACTTCTCCATTCCTTTATGGATTTCAAGGCAACAAATGGGATTATTTGGCACTTCCTGCAGCCACGAGGGCCTGGGGAAGAGCACAGGGACAGGGAGCAGAGCTGTGCCAGCACAGGGATGATCCCAAACCTTCTCCTCCCTGCACCACGTGCCAGTTCAACGGCCTGAGGTAATCCAGAGCAACTCCCACCAGCGAGAGCAGGCACAGAAGTTGTGATAAACTCATCTTCCCAAGCCTTTCACATGTTTTATTGTGCCTGTTATGTGTCATCCTTCCAAAAAAGCTCCCTGTGCCATATGATCCACAGGAGCCTGCAGAGCAAATTTAGAGCTACAACTCTGTGAACTTCCTGGAGAAGTGAGAAAGCTCAAGAGTGGAAAAGTACAGCAGGGAGTGGAGGAAAACACTGCACCAAGGGGGAAGGAACTCACAGGGAAGGGAACAGGGAGCACTGGCACCCTGAAATACAGGTGGGGGGATCAGGTCCTCAATTTAGGAGGAAAATCCTGAGGTTGAAGGTGCTGGAATTGTGTTTACATCCAACAGCAGCTCCAAACCTGCCATGGCAGGGACACCTCCCACTGTCCCAGGTGGATCCCATCCCCAATGTCCAGCCTGGCCTTGGGCACTGCCAGGGATCCAGGGATTCTCTGGGAATTCCAGCCCAGCCCCTGCCCACCCTCCCAGCCAGGAATTCCTTGCCAAGATCCCAGCCCAATCTGCCCTTTGCCAGTGGGAGCCATTCCCTGTGTGCTGTCCCTGCAGGCCTTGTCCCCAGTCCCTCTGCAGCTCTCCTGGAGCCCCTCCAGGCCCTGCCAGGGGCTCTGAGCTCTGCCTGGAGCCTTCCCTTCTCCAGGGAATATTCCCAGCTCTCCAGCTGTCCATGTTGACTATTCCAGGGGTTTTGAGCCCTCCAGAGCCCTCCAGGCCACGTTTGCAGCCCCTTGCTGTGCCCACCCCAGGCCCCTCCTGAACCCTCTGCTCAGCCAGACGTGGGAAACCCACAGGGAAAATGGGAACTCTTCCCAAGTAAAACATCCCAGAGAACTTCCCCAGTGCCCTGCTCCTTTCTGTGCCCTCAGAGTTCACACCCTGCCATGGCAAACAAGGAAATGCCAGGCAAGTCCAGTGGCACCTGGATTCCTGGAGCTGTGGCCTCTGGAAGTGAGAGGCAGACCTGAACATTCCCAAAAAATGCCCCAGCCTGCCCCACAGGCAGCACAGGAGCTGTTTGCCCCAGCTGTAGGAACAGTTTGTCCTCCTTGCTCTTAAAATTTTCAGAGAAGGAAAATGTCTTTTCCTCATCTTTGCTCTGTTCTTTTTAAGTCCATGCAAGGCACTTTGGCTCTAAAACTTCCACCCTTATTGTACACAACAGTTCCAATCAAATTTACAGGAGAATATTGTGCCTGGCTCTGGTTTCTCTCAGTGCAACAGTTCTGAACAATCTGTATTTTTCAGTGACAGTGTTTGTCTTGGAGGGAGAAGCACATTTATCTTAAGTACAACAAAAAAACCCAGTGACCTTCACTCTGCAAATTCAAAACCTTTTTTAATCTCAAATTAAAAACATTGCAGTGCAAAAGTGTTTTTGAGATCAAAGCACGAGGTGCTGTGGTTGAACTAAAGCAATTTCTCAGGAGCTTGGTTTGCAAAATTATGGTGAATTTCTTCTTAGTCTAAATGGGGATAAAACAATCCCCAGCTGACACTGAGTCACAGGAGGGTAAAATCCTTGGTTCCACACTGCACAGAGCTCTTTCTAGGGACAAAGCTGTGACCAAACAAAATCTAAAAGCTGGGGGGAAAAGCTTTGATGCCTCTGCTTTTGTGTTTGTGCTTTGTTTCTCTTTTTAAGAAATCTGAATTTTAAGAAATGTGAATTTCTAAAACAAATAATATTTATAATACTATTCTATATTTAATAGTCTATATTATGTAATATATAATATTAAACTTTATATGTTATATATTATTAAAATATATTATAGTATATTTATAATTTATTTATGTAATAATTATAAATAAAATAGTCACTTTCTTTTTCCCCAGCTGCCCAGATATTCCACCAGTCTGGGAATACCTGGGAAGTTTGGCCTGATGGCTTTTGGGAGCTGCTGTGTCTCCTCCCAGCACTGCTGATGCAGAGAAGCTCTGAACACAGAGTGCTCCTAAAGCACTGACTGTCACTCCTGCTAATGCAGGGCTTTTAATTAAAACAAACAAACCAACCCCTGCTGCTTTTCCCGGGAGGCAGGCAGGCTGCAGGAGAAAACAGGGAAAAATCAAGGGAAAAAATCAAGAGGAAGCTCTTCCTAAAGCTCAGGGCACTTGTCTGAACCACCAGTCCCTAAAAACCTTGCCCTCATCACCCTGGAGAGCAGAGCAGTGCCAGAAATGGCATTTGAAGTGAAAACAGAGGTAACGCACTCCTGCTCAGAGCAACTCCAGCCCAGCCATGCATTTTAGAATGAACTAGAACACTCCAGAGGAGATGCACCAACCGTGGCAGCTGCAGGGCTCGTTCCCCCAGACAAGCAGAGCTGCAGAGCCTGAACCTCCTCAGCCCTGAGCCCAAATCCCTGAGCCAGCACAGACACCCCACGCTGCCAGACACCTCCCAGCTCTCTGGAGAGCATCCTGTGCCCAGCACTCCTTGCTTTCCCCAGCATCCTCACCTGCAGGACCTGGAGCAGCCCCTTCCCTTCCCCTTTCCATTTCCTTTTCCCTTTCCCTTTTCCCCTTCCCCTTTCCCTTCCCCTTTCCCTTCCCCTTTCCCTTCCCCTTTCCCTTCCCCTTTCCCTTCCCCTTTCCCTTCCCCTTTCCCTTCCCCTTTCCCTTCCCCTTTCCCTTCCCCTTTCCCTTCCCCTTTCCCTTCCCCTTTCCCTTCCCCTTTCCCTTCCCCTTTCCCTTCCCCTTTCCCTTCCCCTTTCCCTTCCCCTTTCCCTTCCCCTTTCCCTTCCCCTTTCCCTTCCCCTTTCCCTTCCCCTTTCCCTTCCCCTTTCCCTTTTCCCTTCTCCCTCTTCCCTTTCCCCTTTCCTTTTCCCTTCTCCCTTTTCCCTTCTCCCTCTTCCTTTCCCCTTTCCCTTTCCCTTCCCCTTTCCCCCTTTCCCTTTCCCCTTTTCCTTTCCTTTTCCCTTCTCCCTCTTCCCTTCCCCTTTCCCTTTTCCCCTTCCCCTTTTCCCCTTTCCCTTTTCCCTCTTCCCTTTTCCCTTTTCCCTCTTCCCTTCTCCCTCTTCCCTTTCCCCTTTTCCCCTTTCCCTTCTCCTTCTTCCCTTTCCCCTTTCCTTTTCCCTTCTCCCTTTCCCCTCTTCCCTTTTCCCTCTTCCCTTCCCGGAGCCTCCCAGGCCCCGCTCCAGGGCAGTCCCCGCGCACACCCGCCCTGCTGAGGGTGCTCCCTGCACACCCAGCTCCCACCACAGCCCCAGGACCTTCCCAGGCCCCGTCAGCACCTCCACAAACATTCTGTGCAAAGAACTGCCCCAGCCCACCCAGCACCAGGAGCTTTGGGCACTTTCCCACAGCAGCACCAACTGTCCCCCCCCACACCTCTGTCCTTCACACTTCCTCTGGGAATGTGAGTGTCACCCCTGAGTGACAGCAGCTGAGTGTCACCCCCAAGGCCAAACCACCCCAAACTGCCTGGGAAAACCATAAAACCCCCAAACCCCCAAGAGCAGGCACAGCCCAAGCTGAGCTGGTTTGTACCTTGGCTGGTGTGGGTTCCCTGGTCTTTGGGAGCAGCTCTGCCTTGATTCCCTCCATCCTGAGCTGGGTCTCTTCATCCCAGTCTGCCCCACACTCCTGGGACCGGCTGGCCAGTTTCAGCTTCACCCAGGCTGCCAAAAACACAAACCAGGAGAGGTTCCATTTCGTGCATGAGAACAGTTTTTAACTTAAAGCCAAAGCTGTGCATTTCTGGTTAGCCCAGCTGAGAGAGCAAAGACCACAACAAATTCCAGAGCTCCTGGAACGACCAGGAATACAACAGCAAATGGCTCCTTGAATCATTTATTTGGGGAGATGGATCTAAGGCTCTTCCCTGGTTCTGTCATCCTCAGTCTCACACACAAGTCAGAGCTCACTCACACAATCCCTTCCCAAATTCCTGACTTAATAACTGTGTGGACAAAATAATTCCTTACAGTGATATCAGGAAAAGAAGGTTTTCAAACTGGAAAAGCCCAGTTTTATCACAGCACAGAAGATTCCCCAGTGTCCTGCTCCTTTCTGTACCCTCAGAGTTCACACACTTCCCATGGCAAGCAAGGAAATGCCAAGAAAATCCAGTGGCACCTGAATTCCTGGAGCTGTGGCCTCTGAAAGCGAGAGGCAGACCTGAACATTCCCAAAGAACATCCCCCCAGCCTGCCCCACAGGCACTGCACAGGACCCTCACCAAAGCTTTACGTGGGTTCTGCAGGTAGCTGGATGGGATCAATCAAAATATTTCAGCACTTTAGAGAAAAGAAGTGTCTTACTGGAACAATTGTTCCAAAGTCAATCCTTCTGATCTCCTTAAACTTCAAACTATTTCCCATCTTTTCCTCACCAAAGGCTGTAAAAGTCCACTAATGAAGTTCAGTGGGATATCCTTTAATAGTCAGGAGATGACTGGGAAGCATCCCGCACTGGAGCCCTGTCCCGTACACTGCACAACAATCCCCTTCGAGCAGGGAGCAGCCTCGGCGGCACAAACCCCCCCAGGCCGTGCCGCTGACAACCCCAAGCCCTGAGAGGCGTTCTCACCTCGGATCTTGCTCTCCTGCTCCTCGGCGCTCCGCAGGATGCGGCTGGCCGGGGCCCCGGGGGCGGCGGTGCGCAGGAGGCGGCGGACGCGGGCAGCCAGCGAGTCTCGGCTGCTGCTGCTGCTGCTGCTGCTGCTGCCGCTGCTGCCAGCCGGGCTGCGGGCAGCCCCAGCCCCGGGCACGCTGCCCTGCACCGCCCCGGGGGCACTGCCCGGCTGCTGGCAGCGCCCAGGCTCCCGCAGGAGGCTCCGGACCCGGGCACTGAGGGAATCGCCGCTGCTGCTGTCCTGGCTGCCCCGTGGCGCTGCTGCCCGCCCAGCCTGGCACCAGGAGCCCTGGGAGCCCCCCAGGCCGGCGGGGACAGGAGGATGGCCCAGCCGTGGAGCTGTGCCAGCGCTCAGGCGGCTCCTGGCACTGCCCTGTGCCGGCCCCACATGGGCAGCCTGGCTCCTGCCCGTGGTCACACTGCTGCACCCTTCCGGCTCCGACCTGCCCGCGGATTTCCCTGGCCTCGGCTCCTGGGCCGTTCCCCTCAGCCCTTCCCTGCGCTGGGAACTGACAGCCAGAGGGTGTCCCCATGCCAGCTGGCAGCTGGCAGCATCCAGAGGGGGCATCCCCAGCCCCTGTCCCCGCACACCCCTTGGGGTCACGGCCTCATCCCACGACAGTCTCTTCTGCAGCTCGGGGATCCACTCCTGGCCCAACCTGGAATCCTCGGGATCCTCCTCCCTCCCAGCCAGCCGCGGGGGGGACTCCCCAGGCTCCCTGCAGGAGGCTGTGGGGCAAGCAGGACGGCTGCAGCTGGCAGTGAGACCCTCCACCTGTGCCAGCAGCTCCCGGAGCTCCTGCAGCACCCCAGGTCCCAGCAGGGACTCCCTTTCCTGGCCCTGGCTGCTCTCACTTCCCACCCCGGAGCTCGAGGATGCCCTGTCCAATTCCATCTCACTCCCAGCCCCAGGCAAAGCCCCCACAGCCCATCCCTGCTGGCTGCTGCCCGAGCTGCTGGACCCCGGCTCAGCAAGGGCACCCCGAGCCCCTCTCCCCCCAGCCCGGGGACCCCGGCCCGAGGAGCAGCTGGGCAGGTCTGGTGCCCCAGAGCATCCAGGGGACCCCTCTGCAGCCCGGGCCGGGCCACCTGGGGCAGCCTGCTCCAGCTGGGGGCCTGCCACGCTGCCCTGGCTGGATGGGGGATCCCCAAGGAGCTCCCGGGGGGACAGCAGGTCCCGGTCCTGCTCCGAGCCAGCCTCGGAGCCCACGGCGAGGGACACGCTCAGAGGGGACACGTCCGAGCCAAAGCTGGCCTGGGACATCTCAAAGGCTGGCAGCAGTGCACCTGCAAGGGAACGGAACACTAATGAGTATCTGGAGGCTCCAGAACACAGCAAACATCCCTTCCTGTGCTAAGGGCACACAACGGGAGGGAAGAACTCAAATACTGGAAAATATTTCAGGTGCCTCCTTAGGATGAGACCTGAACAAGATTTCTGTGAGAATTGTCTCCTGAAAGAAATCTCAGGAGTACTTCAGATAAATATCAAACAAAATCTAAACTAATGAGAGAATTAGAGAATATCTAGAGCTGGATGGGATCATCCATCCCGCCCCTGGCCCTGCACAATCCCACCCTGTGCACCTGGGTTTGGAGCAGTGTCCAAACCCTCCTGGAGCTCTGGCAGGGCTGGGTGTTACAAAACCACAGTAATTTGGGTGATGATGATGACGGATGGAGTTAGCATCAGATCTGGTCAGTTATAAAAACACTGACAACACTTCATCACACTGAACACACCAAGAATGCAGAAGAAACCAAGAGTTATTCTCTCCCAAGAAGAAAGAGTGGTGCCAGTCCTTCAGGATACGAACCGTTTCCTCCTGAAGGACTGGGGCACAGAGAAATGAGGGAATGGGGCCGTGTCTAAAAGCACAGGCACGCTCCTGAGGGGGGCAGCCTGCAGAGGTGTGCTGGGATGGCAGAGGATGGTGCCCGAGCCCCGGGAGCGGGGTCCGTGCCCCCGGCTGGACCCCACACGAGCGCCGGCCCTCAGGAGAGCGCTGCCCCCGAGGCCGGGGGAGATCCCAGAATCGCAGGACAAAGCCAAAGCCATGAGGGCATGCGCTCCAAACGTGTATGGAACACCACGAAGTACAAAACCTAGAATTGAAACTGCTAGTAACATGTGGTAATGTTAAAGAAAAATATAAAAATATATGAAAATATAAAAATTATAAAAATATATAAAAATATAAAAATATATAAAAATATAAAAATATAAAAATAAAAATAAAAATATATTAAAATATAAAAATATAAAAAATATAAAAATATACAAAACTATAAAAATATATAAAAATATATAAAATATAAAAATATTAAAATATTAAAATATTAAAATATAAAAATATAAAAATATAAAAATATAAAAATATAGAGTAAAGCTTTAGTAATATATAGTAATTAAGTATTATGCAGTATTTAGTATATAGTATTTGGTCATATATAAAACAAAAGTTGTAAAACAGTAACTAATCCTTCTTCTTCACCTTCCTCATAAGTTTAAGTAATATTATGTAATTAAATAAAAAAGCCCACATTACAAACCATGAATAATTAGTTATTAATAATAACCTAGCCCAATAATCACTACTTAGTTATTAATTAATTATAATTGTAATTAGCTATACTATAGAACAATAACAATAATATATATTATAGTATTCATAATATTTGTTCTATAATTTTACAATAATAATATAACAGCATATATATTAATAATATTATATAATAGTATAGAACATATATAATACTATTAACATATATAATAATGTTATACAATATATATAGAACAATACAGTTAGTATTAATAACTAATTACAGTTAGTTATTAATAATAACCTAACCCAATAATTAGTTATTCACTAAATATAATTAGTTATTATATATATAACAATTATAGTTCTATAACAATATATAACATACATTATTAATATTAGTTATATAATAATATAATATATGATATGATATGACATGATATGATATGATACGATACGATATAGCATGATATAATATATTATATGATATAATATGATATAATATATTATACTATATGGTGTAATATTATAATATAATATAATATCATATAATATCATATCATATCATATATAATACACATATCATGTAATATGATATGATATGATATAATAATAATATAATATAATATAATATAATATAATATAATATATAAGACATATATCATGTAATATAATATGCTATAATATAATGCACTATAATGTAATGTAATGTAATACCACATCCTATCACGCCATGTCCCACCATACGATACCCATAATACAATTAGTAATAATTAGTTATAATTAGTCCCTGGTACCAAGCTAAGGCAAGGAAGCAAAGCCCCAGCGCCGTACCCTGAGCCGGCGGGGGGGGCTGCAGGCTCCGCAGCGGCCACGGGGAGAACTCCAGCTCCGGGAGGGGCCAGGGGGGCACCAAGGGGGCCAGCAGGGTGCCCGGGGACCGCTCGATGCCCAGCCTGCGCAGGTACACCTGGGGAGACACAACACCAGCGCGGGGAGCAGGAACGCAGAGGTGTGGGGTGAAAACACGGGCGTGGGGTGAAAACACGGGTGTGGGGTGAAACACGGGTGTGGGGTGAAAACACAGAGGTGTGGGGTGAAAACACAGAGGTGTGGGGTAAAAACACGGGTTTGGGCTAAAAACACAGGTTTGGGTTCAAAACACAAAGGTTTTGGCTAAAAACACAAAGGTGTGGGTTCAAAACACAGGTTTGGTTTCAAAACACAGGTGTGGGTTAAAAACACAAAGGTGTGGGTTAAAAACACAGGTTTGGGCTAAAACCACAAAGGTTTAGGCTAAAAACACAAAGGTTTGGTCTAAAACCACAAAGGTTTGGCTTAAAACCACAAAGGTTTGGGCTAAAACCACAAAGGTTTGGGCTAAAACCACAAAGGTTTAGGCTAAAAACCCAAAGGTTTGGGGTTAAAACACAAAGGTTTAGGCTAAAAACTCAAAGGTTTGGGCTAAAACCACAAAGGTTTGGGCTAAAACCACAAAGGTTTGGGCTAAAAACTCAAAGGTTTGGGCTAAAACCACAAAGGTTTGGGCTAAAACCACAAAGGTTTGGGCTAAAACCACAAAGGTCTGGGTTCAAAACACAAAGGTTTGGTTCAAAGCCTTCTCCCTCCCCACTCAGCTGCTGCTCAGGAAGCAGTGGCAGGCTCGGGAATTCCAGGCAGCAGCAGGGAAGCTCCTCATTTTTTAAGACAAGTTGGGTCAAACCTTCCAGGCAGATAGTTGGGAGCACTTTTGTCAGAGCTGGTTTACACAGAAACCTTATATGCAGGGAAAAAACCAGCCTTGACTTCATCACCTGTATGGCAAATGAATTTCAACTCATCCACACTATGTCCTAAACTAGCCAGGAAAATGAAATAAATTCCTTACACATCACAGCCAGCTCCACTTCCTACGATTTTATCACAAACTTCCACGCTAACAGCCAGATAAGTGACCTGATCTCCTGCACCTTCCAGGGATTTATGGGAGCAGCATTCCTCAGAACTAGGCTGGAGAGTGTGTAATTATAATTAGGAACAGAAGTCATCTCTCTGTCTCATGAACTGCATCTCAAACACCCTCCCTCCAATATTTATATTTGTTTCACCACGGGTTTGCAGGGACAACAGAGTGGAAAGAGCTTCCAGAGCACATTCCCAAAGACCTGGTGATTATGGAGTCATCTTGTGAGAGGAGCAGCCTCTTACTCAGAGCATAATTACATGCTTGTCATTACCATAAATCTGCATCTCATTTGCTCCACCACTCCCAGCTGTTAATGCCCTGAAGGTGGCTGCAGCCCCAGCAGAAACCTGGGTCAGCCACAGGACAGAAAGGACAGAAGGGATCAAGAGGCTCTGAAAGCTCCTTCGTGAGGAACACGACAAGAATTCAGAACTGGGGCCTCAGAAACTGGAGCACAGTGAAAAAGCAGTGAGAAAATCACAGGGAAAAAGAGATTTCATTTCCCAGGAGTCGTGTTGGCTGTGCAGAGCTGGGGTGGTTCAGGCTCCTCGCTCAGCACCAAGCCTGAGCTCACGTTTGGACAAGGAGAGCCTGAGCTGTGAGAGAGCCTGCACGTCTCCCTTCTCCCTCCTCCTGCTCCCCTGGTGCTGCACTGAGCCCTTCTCTGACCCACACACAGGGTAACTGGGAGGTGTTTTCAAAACTTCTGTTCCATGAGAAGGGTGAGACAGTACAGATGTTAGAATTCACACCATCACGATCAGGAGTTAACTATTTCCTAATTACAATACACAATACAATTACAAGCAAGTGTTTCTTGGCCTATCAGCTTTGGCCACACCATGCTGTAAATGCCTTAAAGCCAATAATCCAAAATTACCCCTCCTGGGTCCCTCTACAATGCATCTTTGACAGTTCTATTTCTCCAAAGTGTCCAGTCTCCTTTGCAAAGCCATCCTTTCAAACCTGTTTCCAGCTCCATTTCTCTCTCAGTGTCTGTCCTATTCCCTGGCATTTCTAAGTCAGCATTTCTTGTCTCACAGTTTGCACACTGGGGGAGCCTTCTGTCAGGCTTTGAGAATTCTCCACAAATCCATTTCCCACACCCTGACACTCACCTACCCCTGGCAAAGACAAGAGGCCTTTCCCATATCCAACCCTGTCTTTGTCCATGTTAAATATTACTGGAAGTTATTTTTCCACCTCTATTTAAGATAAGCTGAACCAGTGTCATGGATGAAATTCACTGCAGAACAACCCTGTGTAAAACCAGAGCCTGTGGTGATTAGATCCTCTCCTAAAAGAGCAGTGGGGGGAGATGGAAAAGTGAAAAACAAATGGAAAGCTCTGAAAAACAAGTGGAAAATGCTGAAAAAACCATATAACTGAAAATAATGGATAACTGTGGCAAAAGAAATGGTGAACTCTGGGAAAAACACGGATAACTGGGGAAAAAAAATGGATAACTCTGGAACCAGAGTTGGAACTAGAGCCAAACTTACCGGAATCCTTTCTTCAATATTCAGCTCTTCCTTCTTGGGAGTCTCCAGGGCTGCTCCAGGGGGGACGGGGCTGTCCCCTCCTGCACTGGGCCTGGGCACCACCAGGGCCCCCTGAGGCTCCCCAGGACCATCAGGAAAATTCAGAGTCTCCAAGGAAACGGCTCCAAAGCTGTCCATGGCGTCGTGACCAGTGGGAATACTGAGGCTGAGGGGCTGATTTCCCTTCTCCTCACACTCCTGGTGCTCCTCAGCCGGGGAGCTCCCGTCCTTCTGGAGCTGAGCAGCCCTGCACACAAACACGTCCGGGGCCGAGCTTCGCCTCGTGGCGCCGGGCACATCTTCAGCACGAGGAGCAGGCAGCACCCTCGGTGGGGTGGAGCTGTCAGAGGCCCCCAGAGCAGGGCTCCCCTGCCCCGGGGGCTCCCCCGTGCCCTCTGCTGCTGGGCTCACTGCAGGCAGGGCTCTGCTGCTGCTGCTGGGATCGCCCACAGCTGTTAATGCCCTGAAGGTGGCTGCAGCCCCAGCAGAAACCTGGGTCAGCCACAGGACAGAAAGGATCAAGAGGCTCTGAAAGCTCCTTCGTGAGGAACACGACAAGAATTCAGAACTGGGGCCTCAGAAACTGGAGCACAGTGAAAAAGCAGTGAGAAAATCACAGGGAAAAAGAGATTTCATTTCCCAGGAGTCGTGTTGGCTGTGCAGAGCTGGGGTGGTTCAGGCTCCTCGCTCAGCACCAAGCCTGAGCTCACGTTTGGACAAGGAGAGCCTGAGCTGTGAGAGAGCCTGCACGTCTCCCTTCTCCCTCCTCCTGCTCCCCTGGTGCTGCACTGAGCCCTTCTCTGACCCACACACAGGGTAACTGGGAGGTGTTTTCAAAACTTCTGTTCCATGAGAAGGGTGAGACAGTACAGATGTTAGAATTCACACCATCACGATCAGGAGTTAACTATTTCCTAATTACAATACACAATACAATTACAAGCAAGTGTTTCTTGGCCTATCAGCTTTGGCCACACCATGCTGTAAATGCCTTAAAGCCAATAATCCAAAATTACCCCTCCTGGGTCCCTCTACAATGCATCTTTGACAGTTCTGTTTCTCCAAAGTGTCCAGTCTCATCTGCAAAGCCATCCTTCCAAACTTGTTTCCAGCTCCATTTCTCTCTCAGTGTGTGTCCTATTCCCTGGCATTTCTAAGTCAGCATTTCTTGTCTCACAGTTTGCACACTTCTGTCAGGCTTTGAGAATTCTCCACAAATCCATTTCCCACACCCTGACACTCACCTACCCCTGGCAAAGACAAGAGGCCTTTCCCATATCCAACCCTGTCTTTGTCCATGTTAAATATTACTGGAAGTTATTTTTCCACCTCTATTTAAGATAAGCTGAACCAGTGTCATGGATGAAATTCACTGCAGAACAACCCTGTGTAAAACCAGAGCCTGTGGTGATTAGATCGTCTCCTAAAAGAGCAGTGGGGGGAGATGGAAAAGTGAAAAACAAATGGAAAGCTCTGAAAAACAAGTGGAAAATGCTGAAAAAACCATATAACTGAAAATAATGGATAACTGTGGCAAAAGAAATGGTGAACTCTGGGAAAAACACGGATAACTGGGGAAAAAAAATGGATAACTCTGGAACCAGAGTTGGAACTAGAGCCAAACTTACCGGAATCCTTTCTTCAATATTCAGCTCTTCCTTCTTGGGAGTCTCCAGGGCTGCTCCAGGGGGGACGGGGCTGTCCCCTCCTGCACTGGGCCTGGGCACCACCAGGGCCCCCTGAGGCTCCCCAGGACCATCAGGAAAATTCAGAGTCTCCAAGGAAACGGCTCCAAAGCTGTCCATGGCGTCGTGACCAGTGGGAATACTGAGGCTGAGGGGCTGATTTCCCTTCTCCTCACACTCCTGGTGCTCCTCAGCCGGGGAGCTCCCGTCCTTCTGGAGCTGAGCAGCCCTGCACACAAACACGTCCGGGGCCGAGCTTCGCCTCGTGGCGCCGGGCACATCTTCAGCACGAGGAGCAGGCAGCACCCTCGGTGGGGTGGAGCTGTCAGAGGCCCCCAGAGCAGGGCTCCCCTGCCCCGGGGGCTCCCCCGTGCCCTCTGCTGCTGGGCTCACTGCAGGCAGGGCTCTGCTGCTGCTGCTGGGATCGCCCATGGTGCTGCTCAGAGCAGGGGCAGCACGGCCCTCGGGGTCCCCAGGGCTTTTCTGGGCCGATGAAACACAGCCTGGAGCCCTGGGAGGTGCACTGCAGGCTGTCCTTGCAGGAGGAGATCCGCCTGGCACACGGGAGCTGGTGGCAGCAGGACCCTGCAGAGGCTGGCCCACGTCCCAGGCTCCCACCTTCTCCTGGAGCCCCAGGGAGGGGAGGGACTGCACCCTGCCAGGGCAGGGGGATTCTCACTTCTCCAGGAACCCCAGCGAGGGGTGGGACTGCACCCTGCCAGGGCAGGGGGATTCTCCCTTCTCCTGGAGCCCCAGGGAGGATAAGGACTGCACCCTGCCAGGGCAGGGGGACTCCAGCTGCTCCAGGAGCACCAGGGAGGGGAGGGACTGCATCCTGCCAGGGCAGGGGGATTCTCCCTTCTCCTGGAGCCCCACGGAGGGGAAGGACTGCATCCTGCCAGGGCAGGGGGATTCTCCCTTCTCCTGGAGCCCCAGGGAGGGGAAGGACTGCACCCTGCCAGGGCAGGGGGATTCTCCCTTCTCCTGGAGCCCCAGGGAGGGGAAGGACTGCACCCTGCCAGGGCAGGGGGACTCCAGCCTCAAGGACTCCAAACGCCCACAGGTCTCTTCCACAGCACTCTGGGGAGGGTGCTGCTCCCCGGGGGATCCAGGGACAGGGGACTTCCCTGGGGCTTCTTCACTGGGACAGGAAGGAGAGCCTTGAAGGTCCGAAGGGATCGCCAGGACTCCAGCAGGTCCTTCTGCCTTCCCAGCTCTCTTGAGGAGCACCCCTGGAGTGGACTGGAAGTTGGGATGAGCCAGGTGCAGGGAGAAGGAGCCCTCACCCCCCAGGCTGAAGGAAGGGGAGATCTCTGTGGCTTTGTGTCCCCTCTCTATGGAGCAGTCAGAGCCAGTCAGCTCATCCCTGCTCCCTGCAGGCTCTGGGGAATGCCCAGGGCACGGGGCAGTGTCCTGGGGCTGGCTGGGTGTCCCAGCAGGGAGCAGCCCCTCTGTCCCCAGCTTCCCTGCTGGCTGCTGGGGCTCCAGCAGAGCTCCCTGCAGATCCTCAGGAGCAGCTGGGAGCCCCTGGGAGGCCCTGGGCTGCACCCCAGGCTCCTGCAGCCTTCCCCTGCCTGCCTCAGAAGCTGCTGCACAAAGAACATCTTGAGCACCCGAGGTTTTGGCACGGCCTCTCCTCAGGCCATCAGAGAAGTTATCCGACCAGCCAAGCTCAGGCACCTTCTTTCCCTTCTCCAGCTTCTCCAGGGCTGCTGCTGCACTCCCCAGCACCTTCACCTTCTCCTGCTGCACACCCCTTTCACTTTTCTCCGAGAATTTGGTCAGTGCAGTTGTGTAGGAGGAGGAGGAGGAGGAGGATTCCTCCTGCCCTGGGGACTCCTTGCTCCCCTCTGACAGCTCAGAGCCAGCAGCTGGGCCATCACTGTCCTGGGAGGAGTGACCACAGGAGTGTCCAGAGCCGTGTCCATCCTTCCCAGCTGTGCTCCAGGGCTGCTCCAGCCCCTTTGCCAGCCCCTCCTCTGGAGCTGGGTGTGCCGGATCCCCCCTGCCCCGGGGGGCTGCTGCCTCCTGCTCAGTGCCACTGTCACTGTCCCCGCTGTCCCCCTGGCTGCCCAGGGGCTGCCCAGCGCGGGGAGCAGCTCCAGGATCCGCCTGTCCCTCGGGCTGGGATGGACTGGGAAGGGCTGGGCCCCTCAGGGATGCGCTGCCATGGACCTGGGGAGGCTCTGGATGCTCCAGGGATGCTCCAGAAACATCCGGGACTCCTCTGCAAGAAAATGGAGTTTCTGATCATTTCTTTTATTCCAACACCTCTGGTTTAAATCAGAACTTCAGTGACAATGGGGGGTTAGCAATATTCACACAAATAGCCATAAATTCATCCCCTAAAGGGGCAAAACCTGAAGGAATGGAAAGAAACATCAAAAATCTCCTATAAAACAAAGGCTCAAAAATAATATAATAATAATATCCATTTTTACTTAGTAAGGCAATATTTTTCAACCTGTTTAGGACTGAAACATTTCTTACTGACAGGCTGTTATTAGTTTCATAAATAAATAAAATTAGCTAAGTAAAATATGCAACATGTGCTTACACATATCTCAGCTTGCCTGTGATTTTTTAATACAAATCACCTACTTCAGTTCATTATATCAATTATTTTTTTAAAGGATATCAAAGCAGCCAGGTCTCTGATAAGCAACAGATTGCTATAAAGTTCTAATTCTCATATTAGGAATTGCTTAATTAATAGTTCCTTTATATTAAACATACCATCAAACCCTAATAAATATTATTCCATGCAAGCAGAGCACCTCGGAATGAAGGTGACAAAGCCTTTTACTGGAACAGCTCTTTCTTTATGCATTTTAACCCCAAACTTGTACTGTAAATTACACATATGGCTCCAGCATCTACACACCACAACACTGCCCATGTATGTCTTACTCCTGTAAACACAGAAACCTGATCTTTGTCCCCAGAATTTCATGAAGTTTATTTCAGAGTCTGAGAAGGCTCCAGAGATGTTGAAGAGGGTGGAATTCCTCATCTTCCCTGGGTAGCTCAGCATGACAAGCTCAGAAGAGCCTGCTCCTGCTTTTCCCTTGCTCGAACTCTCCTGAAGGCAAAACCCAGCGGTGCCTCCCTGCACACACCCCCAAACCCCCATTTCTGAGCCCAGAACCTGCCACTGTCCATTACCCAGTGCAGAACCAGCCCCAGGAGCCCCATCCCACCTCAGGGGAAGGAAATCCAGCTGGGATCCCTGCAGGAACGTCTCAGCCAGGCCTGGGCTCAGCAGCAGGGGCAGGCAGGGGGAGAATCTGCTCTCCTGGACATCTGGGAGAGAAAACACCAACAGGGCACTGAGAGCTGGCAGCAAGCCTCACAGTCCCAAAGACCCCAGCCTCACAGTCCCAAAGATAACCAAAGACCCCAGCCTCACAGTCCCAAAGACCCCAGCCTCACAGTTCCTAAGATCCCCAAAGACCCCAGCCTCACAGTCCCAAAGATAACCAAAGATCCCAACTGCACATCCCCAAAGATCCCAGCTTCACAGTCCCAAAGACCCCAGCCACACAGTCCCTAAGATCCCCAAAGACCCCAGCCTCACAGTCCCAAAGACCCCAGCCTCACAGTCCCAAAGATAACCAAAGACCCCAGCCTCACAGTCCCAAGGATCCCAGCCTCACAGTCCCAAAGACCCCAGCCACACAGTCCCTAAGATCCCCAAAGACCCCAGCCTCACAGTCCCAAGGATCCCAGCCTCACAGTCCCTAAGATCCCAGCTGCAGATTTCCAAAGATCCCAGCCTCACACCCCCAAAGATGCCCAGAGACCCCAGCCCCACCATCCCAAAGATCCCAGCTGCACATTCCCAATGATTCCAGCCAGCCCAGGCATCCCACAGCTCCTCCCCTGCTCTGTTTTTCCATGAACTGATTCCAGCAAGGGCCGTGTGCCATTGCTCTCCTCAGGGATTCAAGTTCAAGTGATAATCAAACCTAGCAGACAGTGATGACTGCTGCAGCAATTTTAGTTTCTATCCTGCATTTCTCTGCTCTTTGGGGTACTTGGTGGTTTTTTCCAGTTCATTACTTACAAAAACAAATGGAAATTGTTTATACCACGAGAATAAAACAACTCTAATATATATGGAATCATCTGTGGGGTTAGATATAACTGTATGTTTGGGGGGGTTTTCTCCTTTTTTTAACTCTAAGCTGGTGTCTGAGAAGGGTAAATAACTACAGACATGTCTGAGGGGTGCAAAACAATAGTTTAGTATTTATATATAATAAATATAATATATATTTTATATATATATATATATATATAATAGTTTCCAGTATTCTAAGCAAGCTTTTATTTTTAAAAGGAAAGACCTATTTGTGGTCAAGGGAGTGACTTCCTAACCCAGAAATGCCATTTATTTAATTTAGGCTCATTAGTTTCCAACCACTCAGACAAGCCACAGTCTGCAGCACTTAGAGGAGCACAATCACATCAGAAAAATGATCATTACACACAAAAAAATCCAGTTTTCATTCCATCAGCTCCAGCCTGAGGCTTCTCCACCCACAGTGCATCCAGGGCAGCCAATCACAAGGCAACCTTGCTCATTAGTTTTTAATTTAATACTTCCAATCAACATTTTTAATTACTTTAGAACTCTAGGTAGTGAGAGGATAATTACCCAGATAGAATAATTGAATTTGCCACACCAAATATGATGAAAATGCTTTTTTGGAAGCTTAGAGAAAGGAAATGAGATGTGGCTTAAAGAAATAGGTGTAAATAGCTGTTCCTGAGGAGTTCCAGAGGGCTCAGCCCAGAGCTGGGTGGCAAAAGGAATTCTGACACACGTGCAAGTGTGCAAAAGGAGAGCAGCAAAGAGCAGCACAGAGGAGCAGAGGCACGGAAGGAAGGAAGGGCCCAAAACTCGTCTGTAACACGGCAGCTGCCGGGGCCTGCTCCACACACAGCACACCCCGAAGGGGCTTGGAGGGGGCAGCCCTGGGGGCACAGCGGGATCGGGCACCGAGGGATGGGGCAGGGATTGGGATTGGGGCAGGGAGGGATGGGGCAGGGATGGGGCACTGAGGGATGGGGCAGGGATTGGGATTGGGGCAGGGATGGGGCAGGGCGGCACCGAGGGATGGGGCAGGCACTGAGGGATTGGGGCACTGAGGGATAGGATTGGGGCACTGAGGGATGGGGCAGGGAGGGATTGGGATTGGGGCACTGAGGGATTGGGGCAGTGACAGGATTGGGATTGGGGCTATGAGGGATTGGGGCACGGATGGGATTGGGGCAGTGACAGGATTGGGATTGGGGCAGTGAGGGATTGGGGCAGGGATGGGATTGGGATTGGGGCAGGGATGGGATTGGGATTGGGGCAGGGATGGGGTTGGGGCAGTGAGGGATTGGGGCACTGAGGGGATTGTGATTGGGGCAGGGATGGGACTGGGATAGTGAGGGGTTGGGAAACTGAGGCAGAGATGGGATTGTGATTGGGGCACTGAGGGATTGGGGCAGTGAGGGACTGACTGCCTCTGAATCCTGCTTTAAAATCAGGAACAGCAGTCTGAGCCGATTCCCTGTGATGTCCCCCACATTCCTCCCATACACCCAGAGAACAGAGGGGTTTGCTCAGGGCTGACAGAGCCTGATTTACATTCCCAATTCCCCACAATTAACTGGGAGCACACAGGATTTCCAGTGCATTTGGCCCACCCAGCACAAGTTCACTCCAGGAATTTTTCACTGTTACACTTGGGAATGCTGAGCAGATTAATTTGCATACAGAACTGCATTAAGCATGCAAACCAGTGTTTTTTAACAAACATTAAGCAAGCTGGAATCTGAACTCTCTCAGCTCTGTTAGATGGACTTTTCCCCCTCCCAAATCTTGTTTTCTATTTAACATGGCATTAGTGAACAAATAACATTAATTGCAGTTATCAAATCAGACTTGTCAGCTCCCATCATGACACACTTCATGTGGCAGAACTGGCACCTTATTTTTAGTCATGCAAGAGAGGAGGAAGACAAGCTTTTCTGATTTCAGCTTAACTTCTCCACTTTGAATGAAAATGTATTTTCAAGCTAAATTGAAAAGCAGGAGCGATTAAAGAAAAGCTTTTTCCACACACAAAAATCTGGGTGTGCTTTGGAAATGAAGAAACAAAGGGGGCTAAGGGAGGGAGCAGAAAATAATTGGGAAACAAAGCTGTCAAAAGCAGCTGTTGCTAATCTTTTGTGTACACAGATTAATAAAGTAAATGTGCATATACAGACACATACACAGAGCCAATAAATCACAACATTTGGCTGATAAATGAGTGCTTTCAGGCTCTGTTATACCAACAAACACCTAAGTGGCACTCGACATTTGTCTGAAGAAACCCAAAGAGATGAAAAAGTGACTGAACATTCCCCATGAGCAGGAAACTGCCACAGCACAAACCTTCAGGAGCCACTCCTTCCTGCCCTGCAGGGAACCCCAGAAACCCCAAAGTCCTCCAGAGAGGCTCGAGGGTGAGGCAGGACTGGCCAAGCAACAAAACCTCAGGGCACAGACCTTCAGCAGAGGGCACGGAGGGGAGGGCACACGTGGGGTGCTCAGGAGGGACCCTGGAGCACAGCTGGGATGCTCAGGGTGGATCCTGGGGCTCATTTGGGATGCTCAGGGTGGATCCTGGGGCTCATTGGGGATGCTCAGGGTGGATCCTGGGGCTCATTTGGGATGGCCATGGTGGATCCTGGGGCTCATTTGGGATGCCCATGGTGGATCCTGGGGCTCATTTGAGATGCTCAGGGTGGATCCTGGAGCTCATTTGGGATGCCCATGGTGGATCCTGGGGCTCCTTTGAGATGCTCAGGGTGGATCCTGGAGCTCATTTGGGATGCCCATGGTGGATCCTGGGGCTCCTTTGAGATGCTCAGGGTGGATCCTGGAGCTCATTTGGGATGCCCATGGTGGATCCTGGGGCTCCTTTGAGATGCTCAGGGTGGATCCTGGAGCTCATTTGGGATGCCCATGGTGGATCCTGGGGCTCCTTTGAGATGCTCAGGGTGGATCCTGGAGCTCATTTGGGATGCCCATGGTGGATCCTGGGGCTCCTTTGAGATGCTCAGGGTGGATCCTGGAGCTCATTTGGGATGCCCATGGTGGATCCTGGGGCTCCTTTGAGATGCTCAGGGTGGATCCTGGAGCTCATTTGGGATGCCCATGGTGGATCCTGGGGCTCCTTTGAGATGCTCAGGGTGGATCCTGGAGCTCATTTGGGATGCCCATGGTGGATCCTGGGGCTCCTTTGAGATGCTCAGGGTGGATCCTGGAGCTCATTTGGGATGCCCATGGTGGATCCTGGGGCTCCTTTGAGATGCTCAGGGTGGATCCTGGAGCTCATTTGGGATGCCCATGGTGGATCCTGGGGCTCCTTTGAGATGCTCAGGGTGGATCCTGGAGCTCATTTGGGATGCCCATGGTGGATCCTGGGGCTCCTTTGAGATGCTCAGGGTGGATCCTGGAGCTCATTTGGGATGCCCATGGTGGATCCTGGGGCTCCTTTGAGATGCTCAGGGTGGATCCTGGAGCTCATTTGGGATGCCCATGGTGGATCCTGGGGCTCCTTTGAGATGCTCAGGGTGGATCCTGGAGCTCATTTGGGATGCCCATGGTGGATCCTGGGGCTCCTTTGAGATGCTCAGGGTGGATCCTGGAGCTCATTTGGGATGCCCATGGTGGATCCTGGGGCTCCTTTGAGATGCTCAGGGTGGATCCTGGAGCTCATTTGGGATGCCCATGGTGGATCCTGGGGCTCCTTTGAGATGCTCAGGGTGGATCCTGGAGCTCATTTGGGATGCCCATGGTGGATCCTGGGGCTCCTTTGAGATGCTCAGGGTGGATCCTGGAGCTCATTTGGGATGCCCATGGTGGATCCTGGGGCTCCTTTGAGATGCTCAGGGTGGATCCTGGAGCTCATTTGGGATGCCCATGGTGGATCCTGGGGCTCCTTTGAGATGCTCAGGGTGGATCCTGGAGCTCATTTGGGATGCCCATGGTGGATCCTGGGGCTCCTTTGAGATGCTCAGGGTGGATCCTGGAGCTCATTTGGGATGCCCATGGTGGATCCTGGGGCTCCTTTGAGATGCTCAGGGTGGATCCTGGAGCTCATTTGGGATGCCCATGGTGGATCCTGGGGCTCCTTTGAGATGCTCAGGGTGGATCCTGGAGCTCATTTGGGATGCCCATGGTGGATCCTGGGGCTCATTTGGGATGCTCAGGAGGGTTCCTGGGGCAGGCATATTTGGGATGCTCAGGAGGGTTCCTGGGGCACATTTGGGATGCCCAGGAGGGTTCCTGGGGCACATTTGGGATGCCCAGGAGGGTTCCTGGGGCACACTTGGGATGCCCAGGAGGGCTCAGGTGGCTGTGCTCAGCCAGGGCCAGGCCTGGAGCAGCAGCCCAGGCTGGAAGCAGGCAGTGACGCCAGTGCTGCTCTCCCTGAGCTTGGTGTCAAATCTGGGATTGTTCCTGCTGTCACTCTGGAGGCCAAAAGCCTCCTCAGTGCAGCTCAGCGAGCAGGCAGAGCTGGGCCTGTGGCTCGTTCTCCCAGCCTGCTGACAGGCTGAATGCCACAGTCAAGCTGCCATTTGGGGGGATAAAAAAGGAAGGCAAAACAAAAACAAAGCCTCAGCTCTGTCAAGCTGTTCCACAGAGCAGCAGGAGCACTTCAGTACAACTGTCATTGTCACTCCTCCCCTCCTGACATGAAATCCAAGACACTTTGTGAGAAGGAGAAGAAGAAATAAGTGAGTATGGCACTATGGCTTCCTTCCCTCTCAGCTCTCCTCCTGTACCTGGGAATTCAGAGCACACACAAAGCCTGCAGCCCATCCCCAGAGAGCAGCAGATCAAACAGCACAGGAGAGGCTTCTCACAGCTTTTAGCACACTACTGAGCCTTTGCCTGCTCCTTAATTCCAGCTGCACTGCAAACACAAAACTGGACAAATATCAAGAAGTTTTCCTTGATTAAATGGCTTCCAGTTCTGCAAATAACAACAGTGGGGAAAAGGCTGGAAGACACCTGAACCACAGGAATCCTGCCCAGAGGATGGCAGGGACAAGGCACAGCCAACCCTCCGTGTCCTCCCACTTCCTCTGAACCTCACTTCCCTACACAAATGGGATTTGTTCACTCTCCACCAAGTCCCTGTGATGCACACACAGCTTTTAACCACCACGCTGCCTGCAGACCCAGCTCTGAGGCAGCCCAGGGTGCCTTTCATTCCAGGAAGGAGAAAAACCCTTCCAAAACATCTCCCAGGTGGCTGCAAACACCCAGCAGGCAGCAGTTCCCTGGTGCAGTGAATGAAGCCAGCCTGTGCTGTGCTCCCTCTCCCCTCTCCCTGGTTTGTGTAAAACAGACCTGTCAGGAGGGGCAGCACCAGAAGCTACCAAAAGGCAAATTAATCTTTGCAGTCAGTGTCACAGAGACACCAGGGACAGCCACCAGGGTGACACCCACAGTGGCAGGGACCGAGCCTCAGAGGGTTTGGGATGAACAGAATCCACCCAAGATGTTCCTTCTCCTCGTGCAGGCTCCTTCACCAAGGATGGAGCAAAATCATCTCAAAAACTGATGGGAATGACCAAAAGCTTTGCATTAAAAAGATAAAAGTCAGGTTCATAAACCCCTCAGGAGCTGCTGTGAGGAAATTCCCAAGGCAGTTTTAACTCCATGCCCTTCAAGTGGTGTCTAACTCCAAACAAAACCCCAAAGCAGCTGCACACAGGCAGGCTGGCACAGGGAATGGCAAACTGCACAACTCAACGTGCACTTAACTGCAAGCATACAACAGAAAATACCACAGTTATGTTTTCTGCCTCTCAGGAATTGTGTGTGCTTGTGAAGAAACACCACTGTGCAGGGACAGGCACCTTCATTCACCAACTGCAGGCACTCCCTGGAAAGGTGAGCAAAAAGGGAATACCCTCATGGGCTCTGCAGAGGGATCAATGCAAAAAGAACCCCCTGGGCTGAGAAACTGCATTTCCAGGCTGTGTTTGACCAGGCTACTCTGGCTCCACCTGGAAGTGAATGGAAGCAAGGAAGCACAAAGGTGAGATAATAAAAGCTGCAGTTTCTCAAGCCTTCTGTGACTGATGCTGGGACGGGAAGGAGCAGTGGCCTTGGCTGGAGTGGAGTGTCAGCACTGCAAATCTCAGCAGCACAACAGAACTGCACCCAAACCCAAGGGCAGCAATGGGAGCCACGGACTGCCTGGGGTGGAGGGGATTTTAAAGCTATTTCAGAGATATTCCACTCCTGCCCCTGCCAGGGACACCTTCCAGTGGCCCTGGGCACTGCCAGGGGTGGCAGCTCACTCAGGCTCACTCTGAATTCACAGGAGAACAAAGCACAGCTTTACCTGCCACAAAAGGAACCTGTTCATGTCAGAAGATCCAGGGAAGGCACACAAACCCTGCCCCAGGGAAGGCACACAAACCCTGCCCCAGGGAAGGCACACAAACCCTGCCCCTCATCTTGAGGGGCCCTTTGACAACAAAACCACCCCAAACACACTTTGTAAACCTCTCTTCTCACTGAAGGAAGGCCAAATGCAGGCTGGGACTGACTGAGCAGTAAAACACCCGTTGTGCAGCAATCCCTTTGGACGTACCCAGGGGCGAGGCCGGGGCTGGAGCTCCAGAAGCTTCTGCTGAGGACAGCAGCCCTTCCTCCAGCGTGGGCAGCTCCGACAGGTCCCTCCTGGCACAGCTCAGGCCCAGCTTGGTGTCCCAGGAGCAGCTGCTCCCCAGCTCTGCTGCCAGCCAGAACCACGGCTCCTGGGGGAGGAAACACTGCTCCGTCATCACCGTCATCGTGAGGAAGGGTGAGAGTGTGACAAGAAAGTCTCACAGACAGGGGTGCTTAGCAGAAAGAGTTTTGAATGTAGAACCTGAAAAAGGAATAGAGATGGAAGCAAAGAACTGCTGAGCCAGTCTTGCTGGATAACCAAGGAGACAAAGGGTGTGTTAGTTAGAAGGGGTTTTTATCACTTAGAGCAAAGGATAAACCCATCCCAAACAAGAAAATGTTTTTACCAAGCAGAAAAATAGCACAGGCAAACAGGCCTGCAGATGTTGCAAGTAGAAAAAAGGTCTCAGAATTTTCCACTGCCATAAAACTGAAAAACAACTTCTAGCTTAAACTGTAATGTACTAACTTCTAGTGATTGGAGAACAGTGACATGAATATGGTAATTATAGTAGTTGTGATAGGCTATAGATAAAAGTCAAGGTATAGATTGGTTCTACTGTATGAAGATGCTCAGCAAAGAAAAGTATATAATGCATTGTAACCAAAATGGAAGGGTCCCTACAGCTGACAGGTGTAGGCACAGGCTCTGTCACCCACAACCTGGAGTGCTGTAACACCCTGGATGTGATAAACTGCATTTGGAAGAGCACCTGGAGTCCTGCATCCCTCATTACGGCTCTTACACATCATCATCATCATCATCACCACCCCTGTGAGACTGAGAGAAGCCAGCACTGATTCTGAAGGGCTCCTACACCAGCCCCAGCCTGGAGTGTGACAGACACGGGTCACTGATGGGAGCAGGGGATGTCCCAGAGCTGCTGAGAGCCCAGCACTGCCCTGGGAGCTGCTGTGCCTTTGGAGACAGCAGCAGGGGTACAGCTCCTTGCACAGCCCAGGCTGCTGTGTGAGCCTCACAGCTCCTTGCACAGCCCAGGCTGCTGTGTGAGCCTCACAGCTCCTTGCACAGCCCAGGATTGCTGTGTGAGCCTCACAGCTCCTTGCACAGCCCAGGATTGCTGTGTGAGCCTCACAGCTCCTTCCCAAACCCAGGGCTGCTCTGTGAGGCTGCTCTGTCAGCCACAGCTTTTGCACAGGCAGCTGGAAATCCATTTTCTTCATTCAGACCAGGCTGACAATGCTCAGCCTTGGGACACCTGGGAGCTGAGGGAATTCTCAGAGCAATTCAACACTTGGCAGCACATCCCCTGTGACTGCACCACAGTGCAAGGCCTGCACTCCACATACAGCACCTCCTGTTAATTGCAACCACGTAATTAACCCTCAGCCCAGGCCAGAGCAGCTCAGCACACACCCTGGCAGCAGCACTCTCCTGAGGGATGGCTGTTCCTAGGGACACCCAGGGATGGCTGATCCCAGGAATACCCCAAGGGACACCCCAGTGCTCCCAGGGACACCCCAGGCATGGCTGGTCCCAGGAATACCCCAGGGACACCCCAGTGCTCCCAGGGACACCCCAGTGCTCCCAGGGACACCCCAAGGATGGCTGGTCCCAGGAACACCCCAGGGACACCCCAGTGCTCCTGCACTCCTGGGTCCTGCTGCTGCAGCTCCTCCCTCCAAGCAGGGCAGGGGAAGTGCTGCCAAGGGGCTAAAAGGGATCATGTGCCAGCCAAAACCACAGATTGTTGTACTTCATGCGTGCTCAGCTGCCTCACGGGCACTGCAGTACATGAGATATGTGCAATACATGAAACACCCAGGCCGTGCCCAGAGCAGAGCTGGGCTCCAGCCCCCCGTGCACTGCAGCTCCGTCCCCCCTTCAGCCCCCCAACCTGGGCTCCAGTGCGTGCACAGCAGCCAGTCCCCCCGGGGGGACACAAACCTGCCGTTCCCACCTCCATGTGAACGCCGGGTTTGGGATAACCCGGAGTTCAGCACCACGGTCAGCTCCTGGCGTTCACCCTGCCTGCCGCTTCCCCGTAATGGCCTTTAAATCGATTTTTAATGCTTATTTTCATGCTTATTTTTAATGTTTATTTATATTAATGTTTGTTTTACTTTAAATTTATTTGCATGTTTATTTATTATTTCATTAAGAGCAGATTTTGCTTATATTAATTATCTAAACTATATTTTAAAAGGCATCTTACACAAGTATCTTCAAACAAGCCCAGGATGATTTCTCTATTATAATGTAGAAATATCTCCATACTTTGAGGGCAGGAATTGGAGTGGAATGGGATTCCTGCCTGGAAAAGCAGCTGGAACACCTTCTTCCCACCAGGTGTGGGAAATGGATTTTTTTTTCCATTCAAGAGAGGGGGGAAATGGATTTGTGGAGAATTCTCAAAGCCTGACAGAAGTGTGCAAACTGTGAGACAAGAAATGCTGACTTAGAAATGCCAGGGAATAGGACAGACACTGAGAGAGAAATGGAGCTGGAAACAGGTTTGAAAGGATGGCTTTGCAAAGGAGACTGGACACTTTGGAGAAATAGAACTGTCAAAGATGCATTGTAGTGGGACCCACAAATTGTTTATGGGATGCTCCAAAATCCTGTTTCCCTGAGCCCCCAGGATGCACACTGTTTATGGGACACCCCAAAATCCCGTTTCTCTGAGCTCCCAGGATGCACACTGTTTATGGGATGCCCCAAAATCCCGTTTCCCTGAGCCCCCAGGATGCACACTGTTCATGGGATAATCCAAAATCCCACTCCTCTGAGCCCCAGGATGCACCCTGTTTATGGGATGCTCCAAAATCCCACTCCTCTGAGCCCCAGGATGCACACTGTTTATGGGATGCTCCAAAATCCCACTCCTCTGAGCCCCCAGGATGCACACTGTTTATGGGACACCCCAAAATCCCGTTTCCCTGAGCCCCCAGGATGCACACTGTTTATGGGACGCTCCAAAATCCCACTCCTATGAGCCCCCACATGCACACTGTTTATGGGATGCTCCAAAATCCCGTTTCCCTGAGCCCCCAGGATGCACACTGTTTATGGGATGCTCCAAAATCCCGTTTCCCTGAGCCCCCACATGCACACTGTTTATGGGACACCCCAAAATCCCGTTTCCCTGAGCCCCAGGATGCACACTGTTTATGGGACACCCCAAAATCCCGTTTCCCTGAGCCCCCAGGATGCACACTGTTTATGGGATGATCCAAAATCCCGTTTCCCTGAGCTCCCAGGACGCACACTGTTTATGGGACGCTCCAAAATCCCACTCCTCTGAGCCCCCACATGCACACTCTTTATGGGACACCCCAAAATCCCGTTTCCCTCTGCCCACACGTGGTGAGAGACAAACACAGAGAACAGCCACAAGCCAAGGGCTCTGCAGCTGAACGGGCAGGTGAAATCAGAGCTGGAATAAATGTCTGTACCAGCACCAGGTCACCACTGCCTGCTGCAGGATCTGAGCTGAGCAGCGCTGGCGTTGCCAAAGCCCCATGGACACGGAGGGGCCTGCACACAGCTGCAGGCACAGGATATTTATGGAGCTAATTCCTGATCTGTCAGAACTCAGAAGGGTTTGCAGCATGCCCCTCTCAGATGTAAGCAGGACATGCCCTTCTTTCTTGTGTAAGGAAGGAGAAAACACATGGGATGCCAGAGAATACAACAAAACACTCCAGCTCCACCCAGGTTTGTTAATTCCCATTTCCACCTCAGTTTGTCACCATTTCTTACCCAAATGCCCCTAAACTCCAGAAGTGCCTGCAATGCTCCTGGGGCTGACAGAGGAGGGGGTTTGGCTTGGGGGTGGGTGGTGGAAGGGAGATGAAGAGAGATAAAGGAATATATTTGTAATTAGTCGGGAATTCTCCACTGCACCACAGAAGACACCTGCAGCATCACACCCAGAAACTGCATGTGCAAGGAAACATCACCACCAATCCTGCTCCCCCCAGGAAGGCAGCAGCCCTGAAAAACCAGCACCCACAGAGCCAAAAGCTCTGAAACCAGGGAGCAATCCCAGCACCCCAGCTCTGGAGCAGCCACCTGCAAATGCCAGCAGCAACTCCCCAGCCCAGCGTGGGCATTTAAACTGATCAGCCCTTGGCACATCACAGGGACCGTGCCCAGGGCCCCCAAACTGCTTCAGTTACTGCCAGGGACTGGGGACAAGGCCTGCAGGGACAGGACACTGGCACAGGGGAGAATGGGCTGGGATCTGGGCAAGGAATTCCTGCCTGGGAGGGTGGGCAGGGGCTGGGCTGGAATTCCCAGAGCAGCTGTGGCTGCCCCTGGATCCCTGGCAGTGTCCCAGGCCAAGCTGGATCCAGCTGGGACAGTGGGAGGTGTCCCTGCCATGACAGAAATATGGCACTGGGTGGGATTTAGGGTCCCTTCCACCCAACCCATCCTGGGATTCTACAGCACCAATATATTCCACAAAGTCATCCCAGGAAACAGCTAAGACTCCTTTGGAGTCTACCCTTCCAAAATTTCCTTCAAAGAAAGCCAAATGTCAAGTTTTGCTCAAGTTCTGCATTCCTCCAGCCCTGCCTTTATCCCAGTGTGATGCTCTGAAGAGGATCAAAAGCCAACCATGGCTGAGCCACTGAAGTAAGAGCACGATGGAACCCTGGGGACCCTGAGGCTGGAGGAGCTCTCCTGTGCCCAGTCCCCCCTTGTCCCCAGCCCAGAGCTCTGGGTGCCACCTCCAGCCCTTCCCTGGACACCTCCAGGGATGAGCATTCCACCACAACCTTTAGCAAAGCTCATCCCCTCCTGGACATTTCCCACCCAGCAGGTTCTCCAGCCCCAGCTGTGCTTCCCCGAGCTCCAGGGGCAGCTCCCTGGATAAACCAGCCAGGAATAATCCCTCCTGTGCAGGGGCCTGCCAGGGGAGCAGCAGCACACCCTGCTGCATCATTCCAGCTCCAATCCCCATTCCAGAGAGCACCCTGAGGAGATAACCCGGGTAAGAAACTGCCCCACATTAGCACTGGCTGTAGCAGGGCACAGAACCAGGCAGAACAAGCAGGAGGAAGGATTTGCTAAATGAGTGTAATCATCTCGGAGGGCTCCCACATGATTTAAACCAAATGAAGGAAATTTAACAACGTTTTTCTTCCTGAAATTCAACACATCGCTTCTGCTGCTAAATACATAAAGAGGGGTGAAGACAGAAATAAAGCTGAGCAACTACAGCCACCCCCACA